TATGTAAAAAATAATATAAGAAATAATAGAAGAAGAAGAAAGAATAAGAATCACACACACAATTAGAATTCTGCTCTTATAATTGTGTGCAATTATAACAAAAAAATTAAGAAATATAGAGTTTCTTACAACAGAAAGTTTGATCAAAGTGTCGAGTTATTAAGATAAGAAATATTTACGTCAAAACAAATTCTCACACATTCTTCATTAATAATTATTTTTTATCTTCATATAAATGCCATCATAGAGTATCAAAAGTATCTTTTCGTACAAGAAATGTTTAAAAGAAAATGAAAAAATATATAGTTTTATTCAATTTAACATTGAACAGAAGATTAAAATCCGCAAAAAAAATGGAAAATTCTCTTTGCTTGTGATGTTTATCTGTATGTTACAATGTGTCTCTCTACTTTCTTATTCCTCTTTATATTTTGTCTTTCTTTTAAAGCCAACTAACAAACATTTTGTTTATTCAACATTTTCGACTAGATATTTGTACTCGATATTTTTTTTTTTTCCCTAACTTATCATTACCATGTTCCAATCGTGCTACTAACGAGGTCATTCAGCATATGACCTTGGTCTTTTTAAGATAACTCGAGGAAGAATTGGACCAATTTGCTAGTTGCTAATATTATCAGTAAAATATCGCATGCATTATTTTTCGAGTGATACGTCAATATTTGTACGTATGAATTATTTTTCGTCACTCATTGTGCTTTGATCGGCCAATATGTAGGAAGAAGGACACTTTGTCAGTATAACGAATACCGCACATATTGCACGTATAAGGATCGTCGAAGCCGTGGTAGCCCATGTGCACCGTGTACATGACAAGATTGCCGAATGTGATCTCGCAATAGTAACACATAAGCTCGCCATCGATTGCATTAACAACCTCAGTATCCTCAGCTTCTGTTATCTTTTCTCTTTGAAGATCTAATTGATCGTCCGCAGATTCGGAAATTATTTCTTCGTTATTCTGTTTTGACATTTTGTTCTCTTTTATCGAACAAATTTCCAGCTTTACCGCTCTACCTTTTCGTTTACTGGTGCCGCTAAGGGTATTCGACGAGTTCGTAATTGACAATTGATTCGTCTTGATAAGTTTGCTCACGCGAAGATCCAACGGAATATCCGCAGTGTGATCTTTGTGAGATGACTCTGCCGCCAGTTTTGCAGCTTCCATTGTCATGAACAACGAAAATCCGCTGGCAGTTTTTGTATCATCGGATATTTGAGATTTGCCGACATCAGTTTTGTCAAAACAAGCAACTCGTAGATTTTGAATAAATATGTCCGACGTTTTTTTGTCTTCTCCAGTGTTCGTCGCTTTTGAATGTATTACCGCGTTGGATTGCGGATGATCGATCTTATTCCGCGATCTTATATCGCGGAGTGTATCGTCCTCGCGAAGCAGAAGATGACTCGATAGATTGAAAGCGGAAACCAGATCGTTGCAAGTTACAACAGATTGATTTTGATTCACGACATTGTGGCTCATCTTGTTTGAACTATTCGCGCTCATAGCCAGATAATGAGCGACCGGCGATTGAAGCGGCAGAATTGGAAAATTTATCGTTGAGTTAAATTGTTTGTTATCGGTTACGTCGCCGGCGTTGTGATCAAGCGCGTCGTCATCTTTAATGACGGGAGTCGGTTTCTGTTTGGGTCCACGTTTCGTGCCGTAAACGTCAATAATAGACAGCGGATTCGGTGTACCATCGGCGTTCAACACCATCGCCGGTTGATGTACCTTCTTTCGCAGATGCTTCTTCAGCGCGTTGCAGAACTTGGTCTTGTACGAACAGTTCGCGCATCTGTACGGATAGATATTGGAGTGTTTTTTTAGATGACTAGTTAACATCGACTTGCTTACGCACGAATACGGACATTTTTTACATTTGAACGGTTTCGAGCCGTCGTGAACGCTTAGCCAGTGATGATTCATATGATGTTTGTATTTTGTAACGAACGAACACTCCGAACAGTTAAAACCTTTTATGTGACATCGCATGTGTTCCCAATAATCCAGCTTCGTGTTCGCTACAAAGCTGCATTGTTTGCAACTTTTACCCTGCTTCCTCTTCGTATTGCTATGCGGGTTGTTGTGAGAAACATAAAACTTAAATTTGTTGATCTCCTCCTCTATGCTGCTATGTTCAGTAAATTGTCCGGACGTAACGGAAGAAGAGCGCGCTCTTTCCTGAGAAGATGCGAAGGCTGGCAGATGAGCAAGGACGGTTTTCAAATTTGTGCTATCGCGTTCTGACGTGTAATAGTTAATTAATTGTTCGGTAAACTCGAATCTAAAAATGCATATACGACCGATGTGATATTTATTTTAAAGAATTGACAGTGGATTTTATTTTGAGTAAGTTTCACTTGAAAGTTACATGAATATAATCATAAAAATTTAAAATCACAATAGCGATGTATTATAAAATAAAAGAAATTGTCAATAATAATATATACCTGTTCGATGTGGCCAACGTATGTATCGGATACTGCGACATATTTTGCGCACATTTAATATCACCGTTAATCGTGCTTGTGACGTTCGAAGCATAATCTGTCGATTGATCGGTCTGATATTCGCTCATGATGTTCCGATGATTGCAAAAAATTCTTCGAATAAGCTTTGCAAACTTACTGCAGTCTCTATATCCGGAAAGACAAGCGACAAGCTTGTAAAGAACAATCGCTCTACTCCTAAGTGAGTTTGTATTGCAGGTGCAGCAATTGAACAAATCTTCAACTTCAGAGGAATTGTTCTCTTCCGCGCTAGTTCTCTTCTCTTTCTGTATAAATTTTATTTCACACATTTAGTTTGTCAGTTTTTAAAATACATTTTTTATTATATATATGTATGTGAAGTTTGCGATTTTCAGAGTTTACACATTTTGACGTACGTGTACGTATGTCATACATTGACGAAAAATGAATTGCATTGCGTGAAGGAAAAGGGCGGTTCCCCTTGTAGATATCGTCGATCGGTCGCTGATATAACAGCTGGAGGAACTAACAATGAATAAAACGATGTTAGAGAAGGGAAATCTTCTCTTCGCAATTCATTCATTTCTCGTCAATATATAACTTAGACACTGTAGTTATATAAATGATATAATAAACAATCTTATTGTTTGTGTGTGACTGTAGTACATAAACATTTTATTATCTTAGGTAGTAATTTTTACAACCAGTAAATTAAAAAAAATATATATATCAGTTATATATATATATATATATTTGCTGAAATCAATAAAAACACAAATATTTTCCACTAAATTAATAGAATAAAAAAATAAATAAATAAAATTGCAGATAAAAAATTGCAGATTTTAAAGCAACATATTTTATTTGTGTGTCTCCTGTTGTTTTTTTTTTTTTTTTAATATTATTTAAATGTTTTTATATATTACGTATATTATATTTTGAAACGCTCCTGAAACAATTGATTATCATTAAACTGAACATGTTTAACTCGATTTCTTGTTGTTTAATATTTTTTCACAAATGTCTGCGGAATTATATAATGCGTACGTCGACATCGTAAGTCAAGTAAGCGTTTTCGATATCAAGAATCAAAATAGCGCTCGAATATCGAGGAAAGCATGAATGAAGAAAAAGTTCAAAACCACAGTCACAGGTTATAAACACAGCTTTGAAAACAAAATTCCTTATCTTCTGTTCGTAATTTAAACTTGTGATAAATCTGAAAGAAAGTATCTTTTCTTTTTGTGTTTTACACGCGCAATTTTCACAGACATATTTAGTTCAGAAAGAAATAATGACGGATAACGTAGCAAATCTGATGAATGATATAAAAAAAAAGCATAACTATTATATCAATATTATAAACAATTGTTTGAGAGATAAATAGTTTAAAACATGTGTTTTTCTACTTTTTTTTTAGCCATAATTAGATGATATCGAAATTATATCGTTTCAAATCATATAAAATCAAAGCAAAATTATCTCAATAATATGTATTAATATATATATATTTAGCCAAACCTGATGCACATTCCAATCTTCAGCTTCTGACGAAGATTAAAAAATTCTCTTTGCAAGATACATTAGTACGTATTTAGAAATATACAGAATATTCAAAAAGATATAAAGGATTATTCAACACTGTTAAATCCACACCACGATGTTTCTCTTACACACACATACACCAATATATAGATTTGAACTTCGAATATTTCAGTGAATGACATACTTCAGAATGAACTGACAAGGACATTCTATGTTCTAAAGAGGAATAAAACCGCTTACACGATCTAGATCCTGCCGAAGGGGCAGTAATCATCCCTTCCTACGTGCGTTTATCCAATCGGAGCAACTATTCGGATTCGTAGATGATTTAGGCAACTACTGCTGCCTCCTTCCTTTTCTTTTTCTTGACACGACGAAAGTTATTGTTTTCTTCTTTTTTATTGTTTCACGTATAATATATTTTTATTTTTCTGTAAATTCTGCTCTCTTTCAAATTGTCAATCCTAACCATTAATCCTAATCATAACCACGTATACAAACTTGTATTTTTGCAAAATGCAATTGTGTACTTGCTTAAATAAAAAATACAATGCTGTAACAGTAAGTATAACATTACACACAAATATAATGTAATAAATATAATACAATGTAATATAATATTACATCAGAAAGTTAGCAAAAAACAAATATATTATACATTAACGTAAATTTTATTAGATTTATATATTCATATGTGTATATGTAGCAAAGTGCAAGCTGCAACGCAAACACCCTTTTTTTCGAGAGAACAAATATAACCAGCTGACATACGCTTGTGGTGGATTGACCTATACTTATTGTTCATCTGCTGACTACATCCCAAAGCAGATAACATGTTTTTCTTAAACATAGATTAAAATCTTTTGACATCCAATAGTTACAAAAATGTCTTTTGAAATTTTCTCAAGAACTGAAAAAAAAAAATTGAGTAAATATTGTTCCAAATTTTATTGTTTCTAAATCCTATTACTGAAAATCTGTCGAAAACAGACAATTGTCGTCAAAAAGACAACAATTTGCCTGTAATTGACAATAACAATCTGATATTGCGTATAATTGCTGCCACAATTTCCCGACTTAAGTGTAACATCTTTCTCACATATTCTAACAATGAACAATTTATTTACTTTACTTACTTACTTAGTTTGTATAAATAAATTAATATAGCAGACTGATGTGAAAAACAAAACACAAAGTTATTGTTTATCAAAAAATAAAAATCAAAAAAATCGTGGGAAACGTACATCGCGAAACATGCACATCTGCACGGTAGAGTTTATTGTTTACAGATAAACTGGACGCTCATAGCGTGATAAACAAGCACCCAAGGGTCAACGCGGCAGCACCACAAGGGTCAGGATCGAACAATAACCGGGTGCACGACCTTTTCACCCCCGGAACTAATATGCGGGCCAACTACACGTTGGCAGTCGGACAATTCGAGATTTATAGATCGACACACATATGTATGTGATTATTGTTTTCTCTTTCTTTCTTCTCTTTTTCTTCTTCTCTCTCTCTTTCTTTCTCTAGACCAATATATGTTGGTAAGAGAAAAGATTTCCGAAAAACGGAACGAACTATACAACCGCGTTCCAGGCTCGCATGACGATTGAAAGCGAGAAAAATTAAGGGGAAGTCCACATTTTCAATTGTAGAAAATTTCATTGTCAGACCTTTATGTTTCCTCTTCCCACAAATTTATTACGATTCGCAGAGAGATCGATTATAATATCAGTAGGAAAACTCTTAAAATCTGTCAGAGGAATCTCTGAATCCTTCTGAAGTAGATAAATAACTTTGTTTTTAAACGTAATTTTTTATTTATATATATATCTCTGTAAATAATTATAAAATTAACAGAATTTAAACACGTAAAATAATAAAATATTTTTCAGCATCATTAGTTTAAAAAAAGAAAGAGAAAGAAAATCTTAATACTTCAAAAAATTATTTCTTTATACTATGTTTGAATGTACGACAGTGAAGAGCATGCGTCTTTTTGCCACTATACTATAGTTCATGCTATAGTCAAAAGGTTGCCATGGAAGTTAAAATAAAAACAATGCGTACGTGAACAGTTGTAACCTGCGTACGATTTCTGTCAAAATCTGCTCTTTCCAGTGTGAAAAAAGTTATTTTATTATCACTAACATTTGAGAGTTTTTATTTATATGTGTGTTTTAATTCACTACATTTTTACAAATCAAAATAATTACAAGAATTATTATTAGAATTATTATTAGACGTGCTCGTTTGTGGGGGCATACAAGTTGTTGTTTTCGATATGAGATTCAAGATATCTATACAAGGTAGCGAGGAACATAAACGCTTGTTCACTTGTGTTGCATGGAGTTCGACAGAAGAAATATATTCCTGTGGGTAAGCAAATAATATTAAATATAAGAAATACACACATTATATTTTTTATATTTCACTAAAAAAGATTATATAACGGTTTCCTTGTCTCTCATATTTCTTCATATTGTTATCTTTAATACAAGTTTTTGTTTCTTTAAAAAAAAAAAAAAACTTTTTCAGGGAAGATCATGTGTTGTTATGCTGGTATTTGGAGGGTGGAACTACTGCTCATTCTGCTGTTATCACAGTCTTTCCAGACGATTTTTATCCAACAGATATGCAATGGCATTCGCGTTCCAGCACTGATACTGCTTCTATTGCCAAAAAGTCATCTATGGATGTGTTATTGATAACCACAGCTGATGGTATATGTTATTATCTTTTTTTTGAAGTTGAGAAAACATGCGTTGCAAGCTGACACGTTTTGTTTCTGAAGATAATACAACTTTGTATGAGAAACATAAAAAAAAAAGAAATAAAGTTAAAAGTCAAAAAAATCGTATATTATATAATTTCTCGTTCCATAAACCACTATGGTTGTTCGACAAGTCGATCTTTTTATAACTTTTCGCGGTCAAATAAAACTGAAATAAAATCTAATTTTATTAATTACACAATAATGAGGATAGTGCGGTCGAGTATTATCGTATACGTAATATAGCAATTACCGGTATTGTCAGTATAGTAATTATCGTATGTATAGTAGAATATGTTACAGAGTATAATCAGTTGTTTTTTTAATACGTTATTCTTTTTCAGGGAAATTTCATTTGGTTAATAAAACAGGTCGTGTCGAGAAAAGTGTTGATGCTCACAAAGGTGCGACTACATCGGGCAAATGGAGTAGTGACGGTTCTGCATTATTGACATGTACGTTTATACAGAGGAGCGCACCATATCGTTTCGCTTCAGGGGAAGTATTTCTCGAAAATTTCCTCCTCCGGCTGCCTTTATTACAGCGCGTCGTTTTCCTTTAATCTCGGGCCGCTGGCGAGGACCGAAGGAGTACGGCGCGCGGAGTAACAGGAGCAGCCAGAAGAGAAAAAAATTTCAAAGAAATACTTTCCCTGAAGCGGAACGATATGGTGCACTCCTCTGTATGCATACATTATAATTGTCTCAAAATGTTATTTCGTGAAAAACACAAATTTTGTTTGCAGCTGGTGAAGACGGTTTAATTAAGATCTGGTCCCGAAGTGGTATGCTTCGATCCACATTGGTAAAAGCAAATCTGCCTATTTTAACATCCAGCTGGAGTCCCGACTGTTCGACAGTATTGTACTCTCAGGGCGCAAGTTTGATTCTTCAGCACATCAATCCCAGTTCTAAACCGTACAGGGTTAAATATTTTTTAATATGCTTTTTTTTAGCAGACAAATTAGTAAGATCTGCCGAAAAACTGTTTTCTTTCTTGTTCTGCATTGTGATAAATGTGTATTTGTATTATTTCAGTGGCACGCACATGACAATCTCATTCTGGTTGCTTGCTGGAGTCAAACGAATGGGCTTATAGTTTCGGGAGGTGAAGATTGTAGATATAAGGTAATTTTATTAATATAAGAAATCAAAAAGAGAAAAAAACAATGCTTTTCCTCTCTGAATTAGCAAATATTATCCTGGTTTTTTAATTTTCTTTCTTTTTCTTAAAATAAAATGTCTAACTTAGATATGGGATGCAAAGGGTAATCAATTATACAATAGCAGTGTTGGTGATTATCCTATAACAGCAATTAGCTGGTGTTATTCTGGTGCTTGTTTTGCTGTTGGATCTTTTAATACCTTGAAACTTTGTGATAAACATGGGGTAAGAAGAAAGCAATATGTATGTGTGTGTGTGTGTGTGTATCTATTAGTAGTATTACATCATCGTGTTGTATTTTAGTGGTCGCATTCTTTGGAAAAAATAACCGCTGGAAGCATTTACAGTATAGCATGGTCTAATGATAGTATGCAAATAGCTATGGCGTGCAGTAATGGAAAACTCGTGATTGGACATATTATAGATAGGTAAAAAGTTTCAGAAATTAATATATATATACATATAGTGTACCTATAAACACCTATATACAATTATTACTTATCGATTAAAAGCTGATTTCAATGCTGCACTTCTGTTTTCAATCATATCGATAACTCGTAATGTATATATCTCCGATTTTATAATCATTAAACTTGTTACACAGAAGGTTACAATGGGATAATTACGAAGCAATATTAATTAAGAGAAAAGTGATCGAAGTTAGAGAAATAGGTAACGAAGTATGCGAGATATTAGAGATCTCCGATCGAGTTGTACACTTCGAATTCGGTTTTGATCATCTGGTCATAATTACACCTACACAATGTCACGTGTATTCTGTAACTAATTGGAACACCCCGGTGATATTTAATTTGAAGAGAAGTGTTATTTCAGCTGTGTTACTTGCAGAAAAGTAAGTGATTAAAAACATATACGGTCTGTCAACACACAAGAGCGTCGTCTGCAGATCTGAAAGAAAAATAATTAATTTTTAAAAGAAATTTATTAACACGTGAAATCTATATAAAATTTTTACACGTTAATTTATATTTATAATTATATTATTATACATGCGTTAAACTTATTTTAGACACTTTCTAATTGTTGAGTGGAATACTATATCATTGTACAGTTACCACGGACGTTTACTAGGCGTGCCAAAATGGAAAGGTTTTTCTCAAGAACCGCTTTATCCTCCTGGCATATCGTTATGTACAGATACTTTGATTATTAGAGATCAAAGTAATGAGAAATGTGAGTGTGGAACGTACGTAAGATACAAACAAACACATATTAACCCTGTAAATCTCGTAAATCCCTCTGAACTTGAATCCGAACGATTTTTGAAAATTAGATATCTTATTAATTACTTAATGCAGGGATTTCTAAAAACTAAAAAAATATCAAAACTAATGTTATTTTTTTAATTTAGAATGTTGCAACGTTTTTTAACCAATAAAAAGTCGAATCAGACATAATTATCAGGATTTACAGGATTGGTATCTAAAAACATGTTTACAAGATTAGAGTTATAACAATAAATTACTGCAAGTTACACTTTAACAAATGACTTTTATGCAAATTACTTTTTATATATTACATTTATAAAAAATTTTATTTTATATCAGTGATTCATGTCTTGGAATTGTCGTATAATAAATCTATAGTGGAAGGTCAATCGCATTTACATCCGCACAATGTGACAAAAGTAGCGATAAATTATATCGGTGATATAAAGGATCGACAAATGGCGTTAGTAGATGTCAATAAAGACTTATATTTGGTTTTAATAAGAACTACTGGTTTTGGAAAAGTTTGCAAAATAGGTAAAAAGAAATTCGATTACTAAATATATAAACTTATGTAAATATTATGGTTTTTCATAATTTAAAATAACTCCGTTACAAACATATATTGTTCAGCTACAATGACGTATAGTATTGCATGGGCAACTGACGCAAATGTGTTAGCTGCAATGTTAGATGCGAATTTGTCAGTATGGCTGTGTCCCAATTGCGTTTATTATTCTGATCGCAAACTAATACGTCGAACGAGAATCGATAAAGAAAGCAGGTAACAAAATATCGAATTTTGCAGAAAATTCAAGACCTTCTTATTTGTACATTCAAGAATAAAAATTATACATATAATTGTTAATACTCTTACACAGACGAAAACTCCATTATACGTTCATTAGACGTCAACAGCTTTGTGCGATCTAATAGATGTCTAATGAAGTTTTGTTCCGTATAATGTAACAGCAATATAAGTACTACAAAATTTTTTACAACACAGCGAGTTTGGAAAACAACCCAGCATTGTAAGTGTTCGCAATGGTATTGTTATGGTGAGACGAGGAGACGGTGCTGTTGTAGCTTCTTCCTTCTACAATCTATTTACAAGATTGCATGAACATATATCGAACAAAGGATTAAAGGAAGCACTTTCGCTTTGTCGCGTGGCTCAGGTAAGATACAGAATACAGTTCCCAATATTGTGAAAATATATTGCACAAAAATGGCATCGTGAATGACGACGATTTTGCAATGATTGCACCAAGATGATTCGTCATAACGAAACATTTTTGACAAATATTAGAAAAGAAGTCATTATGCATTTTTCCATAAAGTATATACATGAATTAATTTTAATTTCTTCATATGCAATTATATTTCTGTACGTTTTAAACATCACGTAGCTGAATTTTTTTTTCAAAGCAGCTTACTTTTCTGAACGCAGCCATTGTCACGGTATACAGAATTATACAAAATTTTGTTTCCAGAATGAAACACTATGGACTTGTATGGCTGTTATAGCAACTGACAACAGAGATTTGCATGTTGCGGAAGAAGCTTACGCAGCAATTAACAGATACGATAAAGTAGATTATATTAATTACATTAAAGTAATTATATTTCTTAAATTGTATTTTTATATATATATATATTGCTCATCATTACAATGTTATCAATAATCTCTCTGTTTTTAATGTTTACAGACATTAATTATCGATGACTATTTATATATATATATATATAATTTCTTTTAATTAAACCCTGAAAAACTAATTAATATAAATTTGCAGAATTTGCCGAATACAACTGAAAGAAATGCAGAAATGGCATTGTTAGCGGGCGATTTATTAGCAGCAGAAGGACTATTATTGCAAAACGGTCTGATTAAGGAAGCTATACGTATTAACATCGAAGTTTACAATTGGAATAGGTTCGTTAAATATCATATAAAACATAATCACGGTAAATATTATCCTTGGATTGTTTTAACAATACTTTATCGGTATCAGGGCTTTGGAGTTAACAATAAGACATAAAAAATATCTCCAAGAGATTTTACAAGCGAGGACAAAATATTTGCGCAATATTGATAAGAATGAAATTAACCAAAGTTTTCTTACACTAATGGCACACACCTCACAACCAAAACATCTAGTAAGCTATGTCGCGTAACAGAATTTTACCAATGAATAAAAAAAAAAAAAAATAAACTAATTTATCTCTAATTTAAATTTTCTGCGTATTTCAGGAAAATAATGAGAATAAAATACAAAATATCGAGGAACAAGTAAATATTGAACAAGATCAGTCCGCATCGTTGGGTCATGAAAAAGAAACTTAAGAGAACTTGAAGCATCCTCTCTTAATTTATATTACAATTTTCCACAATAGCGTAAAAAAAAAGTTCACATTTCAAGTACTTACGAATTAATTTAGTTAAATTTCGAATTTTTCAATGCAAAATTATAAAACGTTACATAAATCCATAAAGAGAAGTGTCGAAAGATAAAATTAATTTATAATAAAGACAACATTTTGTTATCATTTGTTAATAATTTTATGTAACGTTATTTCCATCTATCGATAATTTAGATATAGTATTCGTCAATAACTTATCTGTTGTAAATATACATATATATTTAATAAGATAAGTTGTACACTCTTGTAACAATATAAAATTATATACATATATGTACAAAACAAAGCTAATTGAATATGGCGCGCATCTTGATTCTATATAAAGTAACTACTTACTAAAACTTCGAAATAACTATAACGAAAGCGCGCTGTGTTCGCTCATTCGCGAGTTATTAGTTAGATCACATAAGATCATGGACAAGCCATTATAATTTTTATTTTACGCATGCGTCACTACGTCATTGACCACGTGATTGATTTTGATAAATCCGCGTTCTGCTCTACTTTCCAGAAATTTTGTTTTTTTTTTCTATTTCACAGAGTCCATATAAAAGTCCAACTTATATATAAAATGTGAAATGTACATATATTATATATAACAAAGATATTAAAGAACTAGAAGAAACATATACACAAATTTCTTTTACCGTCGCAACAAATATTGATATTCACACAATTTGCAAGAAAGCAAAATTTATAAAAACATTGTCGATTGCTTATCAATTTCCTCGCATACAAAATACATATGCATCGAACATACACTGCCGACGATTGAAGAAACTTTCACAGCCAATTTTTTCACTTCTAGATAAGTTTTCGAAAACTTTATCTAGAAGATATCTCCCAAAATTGGTTCTCCTTATTGGTTCTCAGAGGAATTTATCCAGAAGATAGCTATCGAGAGGTATGAAGGAATCGGCCGTCAGTCAGAGTTGCAAACTCTGACCGGCTGGCACCCCGAGAACACCGAGGAGGTGGGGGACACGCACTCAAGCAAGAAGAACTTATGGCGTGTTGTGCGTGTTCCCACCACCTCCATGTTCTCGGCGCTTAGAGCCGGTCAGAGTTTGCAACTCCGCTTCGATCTGCGCACGCGTCGGATCCTATCCCACGTTCTCCCCATCACTGCGCACACCTCGTGCGCGCTCGCGGGGGCACTTGCACGATCCGCTCGGAACGTCCGCGAGAATCTCGTACCCCGAAGGTGAGAGAAGAAGCCGGAAGAGCGGGGAACGTTTCGCGTTCCGTTTTCCGTTAGTATTCCGCGTCGCGTCCGCTCGGAAACGTGGTCGCGCGACCACGAGTACGGCGACCGGGACAAGAAGAACGATAACAACGGCTGCGAGTAGCGACGGCGGTAGCGGCGGCGGCGGTGGTGGCGGTGGCGGTGGCGGTAGCGGTGTTCGCATTGTTGTGGTACGCGCACGTCAGAGACGATTAATGTGCGCGGGGAGGACGTGTGGTTGTCGCCGCGGCGACGGCGCCATCACCGCGGTAGGAAGATGTCAGACGCCGACTCGCAACCGTTCGACCGACTCGTGAACGGCGAGAGTAGTAGCGTCGACACCGCTGCTGCTGCCGCCACTGACAGCGCCGGTGGCGACAGCGGTGAAACGAAAGAAGGAGAAGAAGACAGCTGCGTGGGTGGCGGTAGTGGTGGTGGAAGTGTTTCTGGTGTAAGTTTTTGTATTGATGGTGTTGGTAATAACGATTCTGTTGTTGGTGTCAGTGACGTTGGTAACAACAACAGCGTCCTTCCCATCGTCGCGGTCGCTGTTACCGGCGGCGCCGTCGGTGGCGCTTTTTCGGACGTTTCCCGTGATGTGACGTTGCTGGACGCCCGCGGCGGCACGACGCCAGTAAGTTCTCGATGCGGGACAACAGTGCCATGCACCTGCGGTAATGGCTGTCGCTGTTGCATTTCTGTCATCGACCTCGCATTATCAACATCGTCGTCTTCGTCTTCGACGTCTCGTTTAACGACGCGCAACGTATCCGATGACGCAAACTGCGACAATGACGATATCGTCACTACGACAGACTGTCGAGGATTCGCTCTGAGTAGCGTAGTCGGAGCGGCGGTTGCAAGAGCGAGAACACTGGCGTTGGATGCCGGTGGTAGTATAAACGTTAAAACAGTCAGCAGGAGTAGCAATAGCGGCCTCATAAACAACACCACCGCTGTCGTGATTGTTGACACCGCGTCCTCGGTGTTTCACGACATTGACGAGGACGAAGAAGAAGACGAAGACGAAGAGGAAGAGAAGGAGGAGCATCATCGGCATTACAGTCGCGGCAACATGGTCGCGGCAATGAACGAACATCTGTCGAGCGGGACCACGACGACGACAACATCGTCATCGCCGACGGCGGCGGCGGCGAACGCTTTACGCGGGGTCGCAACCAATACCGCCGCAATGTCGTCGTCGTCATCGGCAATGAACACAATTGGCGGTATCAACAGCGTAAACTCCACGGCGACAATGACGATAAACAATACGATAAACATGGGAAGTAGCGTAATCGGTAACAATAGCTACAACAACAACACGCGGAATCAGGAATTTCAAGAGATGGACGGCGACGACGGCAAGACCTCGACCACAACCGGCGGTGCTGCTGGTATTCTTAGTTTTCCCTGTGATTTCGATCACATGTACGCCAGCATGACGGACGGCGGTGCGCCCACAGCCGCCACGGTAACCGCGACTTCGGCTCTCGGCGTCAGTCCGTTGCGCGGCAACGAACCACGTCAAAACGATCTCACGGAGGTCAAGCACCTGAAGGAGCTGCTGTTGCTGCACCTTGACCTCATACAACAGCAGTCCGAGCAGATCGTCACCAAGGACAAGCTTCTTGCCGCGCTACGTCAGGAAAACGAGACGGTACAATGTCATGTACACGTGAAATATGTTTTTTTTTTGTTTTTTTTTTTTTTTTTGTTTCTTTTCCAGTGAGAACGAAGAAGAGAGAAGGTCCTTTTTTTGGTCTTTTTTTTTTTTTTCACGCAAAATTTATAATCTGTGCGATGGTGAAAAAAATTTTTGTTACAAATTAAAAATAAAGAGGATTAGATTGTCATTTGTTTCCATACGATGTGAATTTTTTTTTTCACCGATTCGAGCCAACTCTTGGACAATTTCTTTTTGAATTTATGTTATCTGTCGCGAATCGCAAAATTGGCGATCCCGNCTAAAAACGTTCGTTTTGACGCACATGTGATGTTTAAAAGATTTTTTTTTTTTGTTTTTGCGGTAGTTAGATCACTCGACAATTGAGAAAAATGTGGAATAAAGTGAAGTGAGTGACATTGAGCCAACTTCGAAAACGAGTTTTCATCTTTTTCGATTCAGAAACTCTTCGTTTCCATTCAATCTCTCGCTGTTTTGTGCAAACACACCGCGTCATAATTTTTGTGGTGTGCTGTGTAAAAGCGACGAGAAACACAAAAAGTTTGAGGCAAGGACACAAGAGACTTCCACATGTGACACAAGATATTTACGCGAGCTTATCTTTAAACTCCAAACTGATGTTATCATTAATTTAAAAACATGTTTACACAATGTGTTTACATATTTGTTTACATTGTAACAGTTTAAAAGTTTATATAACCGCATGCGTGTTAAATATATTTATATTTTTAGATATATATATATATATATACAGTAGAACTTCGGTAACTCGAATCGCAAGGATTGTAAAATTCGAATGACAAAGGTTTTCGTCTTCGTCAAAGATTTTTTTTTTTTCGAGTCAAACAGAAACGTCAAGCAAAAACGATCGACTTGTAGAAGCTCTGTGTGTATGGGTTTTTTTTTTGTTCTTCGACCGACTCGGAAACTCGGAAATAAAAATTTAACAGAGACAAAAATGTAAATTTATATATCGTCACTCCCTACGTATAATTACATAAGTGTCACATATGGGATTTTCAGTTTATTGCATAATGACACTTAGAAAGTTTTGTTCTTTATGGTCACCAAATATTAAAAAAAAATTATTCATAAATAAGGTACAAATTTGAAACCGAAAGAGATCCCTAACTATAGGGAAACACATATGAAGAGCTTTATACTTTTAAACTGCTCTCCTCTAAAATTTGCGTTTTGGAGTTGCGGGATTATACGTAGGGAGTGACGATATATTATTTTATTGCAAATAAAGAAAAACACATGTATGCGGTGTGTTGACGCACACGGAGTACGGTCGCACGATTGAGTCAAATAGCGAAACGCGGAAGCATCTTGCTAAGGTTATCGCTTGTTTTTGTTTTTTTTTTTTTTTTTTTATTACGGATCTATCACTTCGAGTTTACAGAGGGTGCAAATAAACAGAACTCCGGAACTTCGAGTTGTGGAGGTTAAACAAAAATTATTGTTCGAGTTTACGGAGAGATATAATTTATGGAACACACATAGGTCTCTCGAGAAAAATTCGAGTTGAAGGAAGTTTGTGTGTTTTCAAATCGATAGAATTATATTTTTGAAAATGAAAGGGGACGATAAAAGAATTATTTTATCTCGCGCAAAAGTTTTATAGAGTTAAAGACACGTTCGAGAGATAGCGAGGTTCTGCTGTATGTATAAAAGTATGTAAAAAAAGAGACACACCACACACAGTTCACAAAATATTTAGCTGCATTTTTTCAGACGCACTTGCTTTGAAATTTCGTTTAAAAAATCAATGCAATCGCTCGTCGTGCTCTCGATCAGTTTATTTTCATTTTCTTGCGCGATTCAAGAGATTGTTCGTAAGTTTCTCAAAATTTCGGATCGATGATTTGTTCATCAAACGTCGTCGACGTTTAATCGCGGGTACAATAATATTCGAGTATGTCTCGTTTAACTCGAAGAAATACAATTGTCCGCGTGTTCTCGCCTTGTGTCCGACAGATATCGGAACGGAAGGACTCGCGATTTGGCACCATTTTGTAAAAACACTGCGTACCGCACACACACACACACGCACTCACGCACGCACGCACTCCCGATGTCAGTTCTAACTTAACCTCGCGATTCACCCTAAAATGCGCACGAGAGAAACAGGTTGACCATGAAGGTCAATTGCGCGATGTCAACACGTGGTGGCGCTACTTCCGCATTGAGATCGCACAATTCGGGGAGAGAAAAAAAAAAAAAAAAAAAGAAGAGGAGACGAGAGTTGCTGCGTTTCCCTCCGCGCGAGAAACGCTCGATGGTACCCGGAGTGTTCTTTGTGATTCGAAAATGACAGTTGATCCAGAGGACACGGGATAAAATCGTTTTGTTGCTCGAGGTGGAGTTGGATTCGCGGCCGCAAAAAAAAAGCTCTCGAATGCACGGATCGCACTCTCGTGTCTTTGGATTTTATCCGGCACTGCGAGGTGTTCCGTTGTTTCGCGTTGAAACGGCGCGAATCAACAAAGCGCGGGATTAACCATAAAGGACTTAACCTTCTTTCTCGCTTAAATAAAGCGAGATAGAAAATCCACACAACATTGTTTGAAAATCATCCATCAATATCATCGAGAGAATATCTCGCTAGTCGCGCGTCACAGAAATTTTTAAAATGATTTACGATCAAATGAAACACGAGACTGTGATATGTACACGGTACACGACGAGGAGTGTAAGAGACATTTATTCATATATGTACACACACACACGCACACGCACACATGCGCTCACATATGCAAATAAAATGTAAAAATGTTGGGAATATATATATATATGGTAAAACGATATTTTGTTTTTGTCCTGTGTTACAGTTGAAACTACGTCTTGAGCGTATGGAAAGACGTGTTAGTCTTCAAAAGTTGAAGACCGAATGCACCGAAAACTCAACTGGTTTGGAACACTTGAGCGTGTGTTCTCCTCCCGCTGTCAATTCAGTGAGCGCACCTTCAACCAGCGAACATCACAGAAACGCCCAGTGTGACAGTGGCAATACTCTGCACGAAAGTTTCAAAATACGTCTCAACACCACCGGTGGTATTACAACTGTCAAACAAGAACCAATTGATAATCAAATTAAGGTTGAGATTAAGCAAGAGCCTAACGAGACCAGATTTGAATGGGAGGAAAAGAAGAAGAGACGGTTGGATCAGACAGTTGTGTCTCCCGGTGGTAAAAAAAAGAGAGCAATCTCATGTTCCTCAACTGTTAGCAACGATGGTATACAAGATAAGGTATTAAGTCAGATTCAGCACGAGATCAGCAGGAAGAGCGAGAGGAAGGCAAAATCTTTTACAAAAAAAGAATCCTTTCTCACAACGGAGGAGCACTATTTCACAGCGGTAGGAGATTCGAATTATGCGTTAAGTCTAAAACAATCCAGTTCGGTAGAAGCAGATAGTTCTTTAGAAGTTCCGAATTGGAGAGTAAAGGTATACACGAGTTGCTACACAATGGAAGGGACAGAGAATTTGGATGATGAGATTTTTAACAAGAGACATCTAAAATTGGAAAATGACGAGAGAAGGAGAAAGCGATGGGATGTGCAGAGAATAAGGTTGGTGAAATTGTCCGCGATATCTTTTTGTTGTTTAATCGGAATTTTAACTTTATGTATTAAATATAAATGTTAAATTGTCATTAGGGAACAAAGACACATAGAGAAGTTAAAACAAAGGCAAGAACGTCAAAATCACCAAGCCACATGTTATAATATCAATCATACCGGTCCTTGTTCCTCATCTACAGAAGAGGAAACTGTAACATCTTTGTGGCCTGATGTGGAACAAATTCAAAGTCTTCAGGTGGATCTTCACTTACCAGTAACTGCATTTGGCGCTCCTATCACTAGTTTTACTCCAAGGTAAGAGCGTATAAAAGAATAATTTTTTTTTCAAATATATATGCAATTACATTTGCGAATCAACTTGTGTTCATATGTTGTATTTTGTTTTTACACATGTATTTTTCTCTTTCTAGCGAATTTTCCTTACCTTGGTCGAATATAACGCGAATAAAATGTCGACGTCCTAAACGTTTGATAGGTAGAAGAAAATCTACAAGTAGAAGAAAAGTTTAGAAGACATAAAAAAAACGAACTTTTTTTTTTTTATAAAAGTGGACTAAAAAGTTTTACCTGTTCCATCAGTTTTAAACTCCTGAAAGAAAAAAAAAAGAAAAAAGAAAAAAAAACCATTGCTCCCTCATATCTCAACATCGCCATATACTCGGATATCAGCGTTTTTTTTTTTGCTACTACGCAATATAGGATAGGAGCACCAAAGATATTTTTATTAACTTTTTAAACATCTCCGAAATGTTGTAGTATAATATGTATAGTTTATCTATTTTTTCTACATTTTTGTCGATTAAACAAACTTATCGTCTATATTTGTTTGATACATCATATTCTAAGTTTTGTACACGGTGTTGGTCATTTTATTTATGTAAACATGAATATGTATCACACAATATATAACGAATCTGTATGTCAATTTTTGCTGCTATTTGAATATCTCTCAACTCCAGGCCAGATTTTCCGTTCCGTTTCAGTGAGATGACAATACTGATGATCGCAAATTTTTTTATCTGTTGTATATTAAATAATTTATAATTACTTTTGTGATTTATTATATCTTTTGCTAATATTAAAGTTGTTAAAAAAAAACTCATATACACTAATAATATATACTTCGTAAAAAATAATGTAAGATTATGTTAACCGAAGAATATATAATCAATTTTTAAATCTTAACCCTTCGCGGCCAGACCTAAAAAAAATGACAAGTTGGCCAAATCGGGTCTGTGAGATCCACGCGACTTTAAGATCAAATATCTATGCGAAAAATTTAATATTTTTTCAATTTTTTGTTTTTTTTTTTTTTTGTTTTGTTTTGTTTTAATCGAAAGTTTGAACGATTCTGCGTCGATAAAAAAAAAGACAAATTGAAAAATCTAGTAGTTTCGAAGATAAAAAAACCTAGAAAGAAATTGCATGTTTTTTCTAGAAAGAAATTGCGCATCAGCGCAATTTTTAAGTGGACCCGTGAGACCCAAGTCTGGACTTGAAGGGTTAATATAATCCTTTGTTTTAGTAATTGTATGTATTCTGTACATAATATAAAAGTTTTTGACAATGATGAAGAAAATACTCTTAAAAGCTTAGGAATCGTAAAAACAGATTGCATTTGATGAACTCCAGAAAGTACAGTACAAATGTATTTGGTATACAGGTTGTCTCAAAAAATGTGTACTTTCCTCTCAAGGTAACAGATTCGTTGATGAATTTAGATGTCGAGATCTTCGCGAAAATCTGAAGGCCTAATTGTAGCATATAACTCTCATAGAGAGAGTAAACTATGTAAATCTTCAAGCGAGCTTTATTAAAAAAAAAATATATATATATATATATATGTTAAGAAAGATTCAATAATGTGAAGATTAAACTAAATCAATCGTGTTTCTTGTGTAATAAAGTTTTTTCACTGAAACATTCATATCGAGAAAATCTGTAATTAGAAGAAATTGACCATCTTTTTTGATACAACCTGCATATTGGATTAAGGTTTATTATAGGCGTAAAGTTTGTTTTATTTCCTACACTAGCTGCACCAGCTCAGTTTATCTTTTTCCTTCCTGATATGGATAAAAAAAAAGATAAACTGTGAACTAGCGCAGCCAGTGCAAGAAAATAAAACAAACCCTATTAATCTCGATACAACGTTCGCTGCTCCTTTATACATATTGAACGCTGTATTGAGATCGAATTTGCAGACGAGAAGAAACTTGGACATCGTAAAACAATTTGTAAAGTTACTGAGAGCGCAATAGATGGCTCGGTTTCAACGATCGAAGTAGAGGCTCTTTGATGATACTTGACAAACTTCCGCGTTTCTTTAAGCACAATCAGTTCAAACGTTTCGAGTCGATTACTTTTGAGCAAGTTATACCTGGTCAATAAAATTTATCTTTTGTGTGTGTGTATGTATGTATGTATGTATGTATGTATGTATGTATGTGTGCGTGCGTGCGTGCTTGCGTGTGTGTATTTTACGTGCAAATTTCTCAATCATAATATCTTTATTATGGTTATCATCGTGTCGTTCACCTGTTAATCATTTTCTATTTTACCTGTCGTATAATTGTGTTAATATTGCAAGAGAACTATCGAGCTCAATAGCATCTTTGAAACAATTTGTGATAATTCCGAGTTTATTTGCAGAGAGACTGTGGTATTACGAATATAAGAGATCGATTCGCAGATGATAATTTGACAACACTATTTCGCATATTTCAATCCACATTGTATCATAAATTTTAAGAGCTAAGGCGTTTAACTCGTAATAATTTATCTTCGCGAATGGAAAAGAAATGTACATTTTTCTTCGAAAATAGTTTTTTAGTATACTATCTTTTATAAATATATATTTAATGAAAAATATAAGTGTATGTGTGTACAATACATATATATACTGGTCACAATGTACACGCATACAGCACACGCTAACATAATATTGGAAGATAGTGTATTATATATATATATATAACCGTCCGTAAAAAAAAAACTTAGAATTTTATGAACAAAACAGCATTCGATGCTATTGATTTTAATTTTCAATATTTTATAAATTGTAACATTTATAAATTGTAACATTCTAGCTATAAAATGAATTATTATTGATCTTGAATTGTAGTAAGTATACCTATCAAACTATGTATACGTCTGAGAGAGAAATGTATAAATTATTTTCTAATACAACACACGTGTCAAAAGAAAAAGAAAGAAAAAGAAAAAAAACAAATTTTGTTGCTGGCTGTATATGAAAGTTTCCGTAAAGGAGAACTTTGTGTCTCCGCACAATGTCGCATTTGCCTTAAACGATCTGCTATGTAATAAACAAATACGTTTTTAGAAATAAAAGACGAATCGATGGCTCTATCCCAATATGTATATAACTCTCCTCGAGAGATACTTAGAGGAAAGAAATCATGTGTGTATCTTCGAAATTCGCATGCGCGCAGATAAATATTGAAGCAAGAATTGGAATTGTAATCCAGACATGTTCGTTCAATCCAATTTACTTTAAAAATAAGAAATTATTTGTTAGCTTATAGAGAACTATGTTGTATCTCAGCGAGTAAAAAACCTTGTATGTGTGTGTGAAGAAATACGAAGTTGTTTCTCGGAAAGTGACAAGAATTATTACTCAGGAGAAAAACAAATACAATAAATTACTACTGAAAAGATAAAAGTATTGTCTCTTACTCTTGCACACAACATCCACTAGGATTAAATAATCATGGCGATGGCATTGTGAAAGCATATTTCTCAAGATTCTCAAAAGCACTTTCTGTGCACGATAAACGGTCCTAGTTCATCGTATTCCTGTCTAGAGATCCACATCTGCTGGAACGTGCTTAGACTTGCAAGAATCGAGCCGCCGATCCAGACCGAATACTTTCTCTCAGGCGGCGCGATCACTTTGATCTTCATCGTGGGCGGTGCGAGTGCTGTGATTTCCTTCTGCATGCGATCGGCGATGCCCGGATACATGGTTGTGCCGCCCGAGAGTACCGAGTTAGCGTACAAATCTTTGCGAATGTCGACGTCGCACTTCATGATCGAATTGTACGTTGTCTCGTGTATACCGCAAGATTCCATGCCCAGAAAACTCGGTTGAAACATCGCTTCCGGGCAGCGGAAGCGCTCGTTGCCAATGGTGATGACCTGGAATTAAACCGTTAACTCATTACGTTTCATCCACTGACCACGCGGCTAGGCACAATCCATGACGCTTTTAATTAGATTAATACTAATGAATGTATTAAACTTGCCAGTTTCTTTTTTTTAATCGTAACTACTTATATATAAAGTCAGCATTTCTTTTTTTAATTTTGATATAATCGATTCTGTAATTCTGTTTAATTATGCGCATTTTAAAAAGTTTATTAAAATTTGATATTTGATGCTTTCGCGATGTGTTATGTTAATATTCGAAGAATGTTTTTCGGGATTGAACATCGCATTAGCGTCATTTTTGTTCCGACGTTTCGTGAACATTTCAGTTTACTTCATCGGAGCGCTTCAAGAGCAACCTGATATTACTGTAGCATCTCTTCGAATAGTTTATTAAAAGTTCATGTAGATTTTTTGCGTAACATCGGGATTATATATACATATATACTTATTTACCTGCCCGTCTGGTAATTCGTAGCTCTTTTCTAACGCGGTCGATGCGGCGGCTGTCGCCATTTCATGCTGAAAATCCAGAGCCACGTAGCATAGTTTCTCCTTGATGTCGCGCACGATCTCGCGCTCGGCGGTGGTCGTAAAAGTGTAGCCTCTTTCGGTTAGAATCTTCATCAAGTAATCGGTCAAGTCGCGGCCGGCCAAATCCAGACGCAGGATCGCATGAGGCAGGGCATATCCTGAAAAAAAAAGAAAGCATTGCGATTGTTCAATTGATATATTTTTGTTTTTTTTAATAAAAAAAAATTCTGATGTATACTTAAAGATGTAAAAATACCTTCGTAAATCGGTACTGTGTGAGACACTCCATCCCCGCTGTCCAATACGATACCGGTAGTGCGTCCCGACGCGTATAAGGACAGAACAGCCTGGATAGCGACGTACATGGCCGGAGTGTTGAACGTTTCGAACATGATCTGTGTCATTTTCTCGCGATTAGCCTTAGGATTCATAGGCGCTTCTGTCAGTAGAACAGGATGCTCTTCCGGTGCGACTCTGAGCTCGTTGTAGAACGTGTGATGCCAGATCTTCTCCATATCGTCCCAATTGGTGACTATGCCGTGCTCAATGGGATACTTGACGGTGAGAACTCCGCGTTTGCTCTGCGCCTCGTCGCCCACGTAGCTGTCCTTCTGTCCCATGCCCACCATGATTCCCTAAACATATTCTCGATTATAAAGAAATATTTCTAACTACTTTCTCGTCGCGCGCGAATTGACGATTATCGAATATATATATCTCTCTCTCTTTCTTTTCGTTTTACCTGATATCGGGGTCTCCCGACAATGGAGGGAAACACAGCTCGTGGAGCATCGTCTCCGGCAAATCCGGCCTTGCACATTCCCGATCCATTGTCGATCACCAACGCGGCCACATCGTCGTCGCACATTTTGAAATAATATTGTTTTCTTAAAGTAATATTTTTTTTTTTTTTTCTAATGTGACGGATGATTTCACGGAGCGAAATCTAGATTTAGCGAAATGTGAGAACGCGCTTGAACAGACTCTCGAAGTAATTAGGACGATCGCGCGGAAAGAAGAGACTCGGAAGAGACTAATATTTTACACCGACTTCTGGATCCTGTTTGAGTTTCTTCGCGGAAGGAAGAGTTGCTTTATATACAAACTCCCCTTCTCCCGCCGCGGATTCGCACACGTTTTTTTTTTTTTTTTTTACACAGAAACCTCAGGAACCGATAAATCTCACGCGTCGGATTAACACTAATGGATTTTTTTTTTTTTTTTCACGACAAAAAGCAAACAGATTACTTTCATTGTAGAAAATTGAAATTATTCAATACGATGTACTTTTGTACACACAAGCTATATTATTATTTAGTAACAATAATTATATCGGCAAAAATATAATACCTAATAGATTTTGTTGTTAAAAATAATTTGAGCGCGTTACTGTGATGCGTAAAAATAAACAGTTTAAGATACAGGCTCGTTCTTGAAAATTGTATGATACAATATAAAAGTTACGAGTGCTACAAACGAGATTTGTTGTTGTTATAATTATTATTATAAAACCAAAATTTGGCAGCAGTTTTTTTCTGCATTTCTTATTACAAATAAATATTTTCAAGGTTTTTTTTTTTTAATAAAAGAGACCTTAATTGCTTTTTAATACACGCCAATTACAACTAAAGGAACTAACTCTGCTCGTACATGTTATCTCCGTGAATGCACGAAGTTCTCGCAGTAACTAGAGCGTACACCTTTCTGCGTTTCCTCTATAATGATGTATTGGTCTTTTCGCAAATCTTTGATAGATCGCAATGTTTTTTTTTTTAGCTGAATGTAATTGTATCTCAAAAATTTTCTTCGAAAATAAAACCGAGCTCTATTCTCGTATAAAAAAAAAAAACAAAATGCGTTTACATATTCAGAAATTAAATTAAATTGCGATAAAAAAAAAAAAAATCAAAATAAAAGAACATAAATGTCTGTATGTTCTTCGATTCCTTTTTTCGTTTGTCACAAAAGTAACAAAATTAAATAAAAAACAAAAGTTCACAAATGTTAATCAAGCTTAATTACACGTCTTAATTGTTCTAAACTGCTTCCCACACACAAATGCACTTTTCTAAAAATAGATAATCTGTCACGAAACATATACAAAGAGAGAAAGAACGTATTACCTTTAAAACAGTATATATGTAAGTATTGTACAGGTATAATATATAGCGTTGTACAATATTTTTCTCTGTCATAACATTAAATTGAATAATTAATTTTTGATAAATCGAATATTATTTTTTTTTTGTGATCTTGTGTATCCATCGCGATTTAACCGATTCTGTCTATTCGCGTCACCTGTTGATAACAAGCTCCATTCCTTTGAGGATATTTTACAAACCGAAGCGCATTACAGAGAATCGCCGTTCCGTAGACTGATCTCGCCATCAGAGCGTCATTTATAATCACCATATTATGCCCCTTAATTAACCGTTCGACTAATGATATTAATTAGGCTGTGAAATTAAGTACCCACTTTTGGAGTTTTTGCATATACTTCTCTTAATATTTTTCAACGGCATCGTGCTACGTAACGATGTAACGCGGTGTGGAAAGGCAACGTGCAAGCAATTTTATTGCACAATCATCAGAGAGTATCATAATAGATAAAAAATACACGATTAAGATCATATTAAAATCAAACGTATATATATATATGTATATATATCTCGCTTCTCGTTACCAAGCAAAAAGTTATATGTATGTACAATTTTTACACGGTACATATTTGCGTTCAATTCGAACACAAGCATGTATAAGAATAGTATGAGAAAAATTAATAGAAAATAATAAGTGCAACATAAAATATATTTCATAAAATATTCGCTATATTATGTATTATACGGAGTTGAACAAGATATGCTTTTAAATTCTTAATTTTTTTTTTTTTTTCGGAAAAAAATATTTGCGTGTGTTTGTTTTCGTAAAATCACAAATTCGATATTCACTTCAGATTGACACACTCTAACGAAGAATAAATAAAAGCTTGTAGTAAATTTCTTTTTTTTTGTTTTATATATATATGTGTGTGTATATATATATATATATACACACGCGTATGTATACATATGTACATACACAATACACACACGCACGCACACGCATACACACACGCACGCACACGATATTTGCATTTTTTGCGTGCAAATATATTTTACTTCGTCTTTATACAAATACTGCACAAAAAGCAGCGTCACTTTCAAGATATGAACTTTCTTAATACAGCAAGTAAACTTTGTAAGAATAAATTAGATGTATATATATATATATATATATATATATATATGTATGTATATATATTGCCAATACTTCTTGTCACATCATTATCACAACAATCTTAAAATATTTTTTTTTTTTTACTTATCCCAGAGACCAACTTCTTTCATACGCGTTTGAAAGTACTTCTCCAAGGCATTGGCACATCGGTAATATTCTGTGTCGGGACTATTATACAGTCTACAATTGGTGAAAATCCGCAACATATCCGCTACAAATAATCTTTTAATTATATAATATCCAGAGTTCAAACGATCCTGCATAGTTTTGAGATCTGTAACACACGCGTCAATATAAATCTCCACTTCTTGCATTTTGTTTCGCGTTTTTATATTTTTATACTCTCTTATATTTTTATTCTTTTTATTTTATACTCTTAATTAACATTGGATAATGCATATGCTGTATAATAAAAAAAAAAAAATCGAGTAAAATTAAAAAAATATTTTTCTGTCAACTTACCCATGGGATACTTTATGTGATCGTAATAATCTGGAACTTCGTCCTTAACTACAGGTTTTAAAAAAGGCCACGCTGTGCTGTGCTTCTTTACACTATTCAGAACGCTACTCAACGTAGAATATAGAGAATCCGATGTATCGAGGCTCGCGTCTATCGATTCCGAATTCGGAGCTACTTTTGCGACGCCTCTCGTTCGTGTTTGAACCGAACTTTTCCATCCGGTCTCGTGAATTCCCGGAATAGATTCAATTGGGATGACTCTTATACCCTCTCTAAAACACGTTAAACCCGGATGCGCTTTTTGTATGTCCTGCTGCCTTTGGTAAATCAGTTTCTCGACAATTTTCTTCTGTTTTCTAATCACTGCCGTGAATTCGGTGTAAACGATCTTCGGATTCAATTCGCAGTGCATTAACGTCGCGCCCACGTAACGCTTGATGTATCCCTGGTACATCGATTTCGGCAGTTTTATGTCTTTGCTGAATCCCTGCTTCTTGAAATATCCGATAGCGAAGTCGTCCGCAAATGTGAGAAAATGCAATATGTTGTTCTTGATATGATAATCCTTCAACATGTTCATTAAGTGTGTTCCGTAACCTTTGACTTGCTCGTGACTTGTAACAGCGCAAAATACTATTTCGGTGAAACCTTGATTGGGGAACATGCAGAAACATATACCGCCGATCGGTCGACGATCCTTTATCAAAGCTAACGTTTTGTGTTTTCTATATGAACAATAAAACAAAAAGTTATTGCAAATTTAGAAGAATATTTTTCTTTTCTACTTTTTCATTCTACATTGGAAAACGTTACTCACGGATCGAAAACAAGTTGAGTAATATATTCTTTGGGCGTTCTAGGTAACTGATGACTGAACACATCTTGCAATCCAATCAGCCAAAGCATAGTTTGCTTCGACACTGGTCGAGTAAGGCTATTTCCGACTACGTGAAACTCTATTATCTTCTTACTCTCTTCCATTTTAGCGGTTTCGTCACGCGGTACGTTTGGTGGGAAAACCGCGTCCGAACCGGACATATAATTGGTATCGTTAATAGACGCGACAATTTCGGCAACAGTCTCATCCGGAAGATCTTCGAGATTTTCTTCATTTTTCTTTCTCTTTACATCGGAACGTCCCTCGGGAGTGGAACGTTTCTCCGGAGGTTTCTTTATTCCCGGACTAATATTTATTGTTGTAAAGTTATCCTTCTCATTCGGAGTAACAGTTACCTTCTCAAATTCCCCTGTTCTTCTAACTTGTTGCCTTTTTGTGTCTAGAGGCTGTTTAAATTTGGGATCCCATATAGGTGAGTTATCACAATATATTTCTGTTTCTAACATCGAAAGAAACCTTAAATATCAAAACCAGGATACACATAATTATACATCAATGGTAAAACATAAAAAAAAAAAAAAAAGAAGAGAAATGGAAAACATACTTGGGAAGATGCGTTAAACACATTACTCTCTTGTCGGGTTGAATCTTCTCTCTGTCGGTATAAATTTTATCTATTAATTGTCTGGATACTTGCTTAAATACAGCTTGCAAAAGCTCTTTTCCAAAGGCTACAGTAGTGTTGTAATGCTGCAAGGAATCGCAAAATTGAGGTATATGGCAGTAAACAAGCCAGCGAGTAAAATTGGTTCTGTAAGCAACAGCTTCTTTCTCATTCGTCATTCGTTTGGCGCTTGGTGTTTCGAAGCTCCAATAATTCATGCAGTGTAGAAACATTTTGGCCATGTCGCAAATCATTTGCCAGTCTTTCGGCGGCAAATGACTGAATTTGTATAAAACAAAATTTGTCACCGCTTGCACTATGCTAAAGTCCTCAAACGGCGGTTTTTTCAATGATCCTTCAATGACCGGTTTTGTCCTATATATAATAGACCTTCTTAACAATTTGTACAAATGTACATATACTCTTCTAGTATCAGGATCCTCCTCTCTTTGTACAGTAATATAAATATTCTCTGAATCAATAACCATTCCTAATAATCTATTAATTTCTTCTTCGGACAAAGATGACAAATGCTTAACATGATTCTCCAGAGAATGAGTACATCCGTGACAGGGGTCGTAAAAGGTTACAGGTTGCTGCGGGAGTTGTCCGCCGTTTTGCGATCTATTAAACATTTGTGGATTTTTCCATCCGTTACATTTACATTCTTCCGCTTGACAAGCGCTATATGCCGACAGCTTCAACAATTTCTTGACTTGTGGCCAATTAAAAATCTGCTGTTTGCGTTCCTGTATTCGTTGAACATTGTTGCTCTGCGAACTTGAATTCTGCGGCTTGGGCGCGTTAAGATCCTTATTGTTACTTTCTTGCGACACAGTGCTCGTAACAGGTTGTCCAGTCTCGCCCGATGACACCAAACTCGTCTGAGAATTCACGTCCTCGGTTGCCATCCTGAGAACATTTCACAAAATTTTTCACAAGTTTTTATTTGGAGCAAACTCTTTAATTTTATTTCTTTTTCTCTCTACAGTCATCACGCAAATTACCTTACGTCAACTCACTTATTTTTTTACAACGCAATCACTTTTTCTAAATTTTCTCATGAATCAGATTGGATTGGAATTAGGGTTAGAGTAGGTAGGTTAGAATCAAACTTTCTGTGTATATAGACGGTATGTTTCAATGGAAACGGAAGTTCGATTAGTTGGTCACTTCGGATGGCAATACAGTTCACCTCTTCCAACGCTTTTACCACTGGCTTGGCTTAGTTTACATCGTCAAAACGTCAGTATCATAGAGATGTAAGACTAGAGTGAGCGAGTCTTGTGCTGTCGCGTAAGTGGACGCGATAGAGGATTAGAAAGAGAAATATGTATGTGACATCTTTGTTTTACATCTAATGAGCAATAAAGATGGAATGATGCAACAGATAGCACGCGCTCCACAAACGCAGCCATTAAACGCAAGTAGCAGGTGGAACTGACCAATCACGTTAGTCGATTGGCTGATTTGACAAAAACGTGAATGGTCAATATCGCGTGATCAGCGACCTGCGACCATAGACGTGTGATATATAGACTGCGCGTTTGGCTGAAAAGATGTCTTCAACGTTGAGAGAGACAACATACTTTGAATAGTAACTCTTTCTCTGTCTATCAATGTCTGTGGTGGGATCAGGGCCTACTGTTTCCATACCACCTAACCTACCATCACCCCTTAATCTCTCTCACTCTTCTTCACTCCCACTATTTTTCTTCATCCCCACTTTTCCACTACTATTCTCTATCAATCAGCGAAGACTTCTTTTTCCCCCACTACTTCGCTAGACAAAGATGAAGCTACTGTTCAACACCAGCTGTTTCTGGGTGCGTTCAGACAACTCAACGGTTGAGAGATCATCACTTATGATAGGACTATTCTTCAACATCTGCTGGGGTTCCAAAAGTATGATCCAATCAGAAGTGATTATCTCTCAACAGTTGCACAACGGTTGAGAGATAATCACTTCTGATTGGATCCATACTTTTGGAACCCCAGCAGATGTTGAAGAATAGTCCTATCATAAGTGATGATCTCTCTCAACCGTTGAGTTGTCTGAACGCACCCATTTTCTTAACATGGCAAAGGTAGGGAACGCGCAGTCTATATATATTATACGTCTATGGTTGGGGCATGCGACGCGAACAAACCTTATGTCATTTTTGTGTGCGATAGCCTTAACACACACACTCGCGTGATCCAACCTAACTGATCTCTGGTTGAACATCGCGTTTTAAATCGCCAACAGTATCATCAACAATCAACAACTTTATGTAGCTAACAAACTAGCAAGAACGTTTGCTATAACGATGTAGAATGTATTTTCACGAACATCTACTTAGACAAATGTAATATTATATCAATTGTTCGAGACAATAAGATTGTTTGTGTGAATGCGGAAGTTAATTCGAAATTTTTGTTGATAATAATTTAGCAAAGAGATAAACAATCTTTAATGTAAGTTAATATACACATGTGTTTGAACATATAATATAACACGCACACATTTACATACATAATATGCAAATTTTAAGGATGACATCTGAAGATACCAACCATACAGCAGTGATTACTTTAGAAGAGAGCGAACAGCCCGCAATAAATACTCTGCAGCAGCAAGAAAATGTTATGAAGGATTCAAACTCACCCAAATTGCAGACTCAAAGTCGAAATACAAATATCACGAGAATACAACAACGTAAGCAGCAAATGTGCAATTGGCCGCGAGTCAGAAAATTGCTAAAACTTGCTGCTTACAGTACTTGCCAGTTGGAGGAGTGCAAATGTCCCAACTGGAAAAGTGTGCAAACAGTTGCAAGTTTACAGAAGGGCGAGCTTCAGCAGCAACCTATTATAAATTTCTACGATCCGTGCAAGATATGTACTCACTCTTTAGAAAGTCACATCAAACATCTGCCAAACCAGTCTGATGAAGAACTCAATAGACTGTTGAGAATGGCTATTGATGTAGACAATATATATTTTAGTTTACAATCGGAGAAGGACATTGACACCAGAAAAGTGTATTATTATTTGTACAAAGTGTTGAGAAGAAGCATATGGTCTATGACAAATCCAATTGTTGAGAATCCATTTAAACAACCACCATTTGAAGTCCCTAACATAGCAAAGGCGGTGACAAATTTTGTTTTATACAGATTCAGCCATTTACCTCCTCGAGAATGGCAGGTGATGTGTGATATGGCTAAGATGTTTCTGCATTGTCTAACGTATTGGAATTTTGAAGCTCCCAGCACCAGAAACACAATAGTCAGTTCAGAAGAGGCTGCTATATATAAAGCTACTTATACCCATTGGCTTGCCTTCTGTCATGTACCTGCGTTTTGTGAATCCTTAAGATATTACAACACTCCTCTGGTTTTCGGAAAGCAGATGTTGCGAGCTATATTTAAGCCATTCTGCAGACAAGTGATGGACAAAATGAACAATGAAAGAGACAAAATGACACCTAACAAGCGAATAATGGTCTTAACCCATTTTCCCAAGTATGTGGTAGTGTTTTTTTTTTTTTTTGGTTTTTTGTTTTTTTTCTTTAATGTTTGTTGATAATTTATAGATGGAACACAAAGCGTGATATTTTATACTTTAGGTTCCTTTCGATGTTAGAAACGGAGATTTATTCTGATACCTCACCTATTTGGGATCCCGACTTCAAGCAGGCGCTACCTTCTCATGTGCAACAAAGTAATGCGGAATCAAGGCGACTGCAAGCAAGAAAATCAGGAGAATTTGAGAGAGTTACTGTCACGCCAAATGAGAAGGACAATTACACAACGATAAATATTAGCCCGGGAATAAGAAAACTTCCTGAAAAGCGTTCTCTTCACTCTGAGAGTCGTTTTGACGTGAAGAAACGAAAACCCGACGAAGCTTTTGAGGATTTGTCGGACGAGACTATCGCTAAAATTGTTGCGACTATCAACGACCCGACGTATATGTACGGTCCGGATGCGGTATTCCCGCCAGACGTTCCGAGAGATGAAACCGCCAAGATCGAGGAAAGTAGAAAGATCATAGAGTTTCACGTTGTTGGAAATAGTCTCACGCAGTCTGTGTCGAAGCAGACTATGCTTTGGCTCATAGGATTACATAACGTATTCAGTCATCAATTAGTCAGAATGCCCAAAGAATACATATCTCAGTTTGTTTTTGATCCGTGAGTGTTAACATTCTTATTATTTATATTTTTGTGAATTAATTTGTGTTATTAATTATTTGATAATAATGCATTTTTACACTTATTACACGCAGGAAGCACAAAACGTTGGCTCTGATAAAGGGTGGTCGTCCGATCGGCGGTATTTGTTTCCGCATGTTTCCCACGCAGGGATTTACCGAGATAGTGTTCTGTGCGGTAACGAGCCAGGAGCAAGTGAAAGGTTACGGAACGCATCTGATGAACATGCTCAAAGACTATCATATTAAAAATAACGTGCTGCATTTTCTAACGTTCGCGGACGAGTTCGCTATCGGATACTTCAAGAAGCAGGGATTCAGCAAGGACATAAAACTGCCGAAATTGATGTATCAGGGATACATAAAGGATTACGAGGGCGCGACGCTGATGCATTGCGAATTGAACGCTAAAATTGTATATACCGAATTCACGGCAGTTCTTAGGAAACAAAAGGAGATAGTGAAAAAATTGATTTATCAGAGACAACAGGAGATACAAAAGGTTCATCCTGGATTAACGTGTTTCAAAGAAGGAGTGAAAGGCATTCCGTTGGAGGCCATACCGGGTATTCGGGAAACCGGTTGGAAAAATTACGCGCAATCGAAAACGAGAGGCGTGACGAAGGGAACGACGCAGACCTCGGAACTTATGGACCATGTGGACATGTCGGATTCTCTGTACAACGCTTTGAACAGCGTTTTGAATAGCGTGAAAAATCACAGCACAGCTTGGCCATTTTTAGAACCCGTGGACAGAGACGAAGTTCCGGATTATTACGACCACATAAAGTATCCTATGGGTAAAATCTAAAACAAATTATTTGAAATTTTTATAAATTTAAGGTTTCCACGATACGATTGCGCGGTTGTCAAAATCCCAAAGATTTTTTTGTTTTTTTTTTTTTTTATTACAGAAGCGAGAAAGATACGCAAAAGTTTCGCGCATTTTGTGTAAAAATATAAAAGATTTATTTATGTAATAAAACGCGTGTGAAATCCAATAGAATGTTCGTTCGTAAGGTAAAGTAAAAATGTGTTCTTTGGTTTCAAATAAAATCCAGGCTGTATACAATTGAATCGAAAAAACATGGACTTGTCGCACGGATTTTTACACCTGCCGAATTGTGTGTTAAGTTTGCGTTTTTTATTAATATAAATTATACTCCGAAGTGTTTCTGATATATTTTATAGATGTGCTATGCGTCGAACGAATCTTTTGATTGATCGCTAAACAAACTTTTTATATCCACACGAAGTGCGCAAAACTTTTTGACGCGTTTTCAAATTATTTTGGATTGGCTTTGTACAGATTTGCTCGTGTTGCTTAAACTTTTTTATTTTTTTATTCTTGTTCTCGCGACGACCAACTTTGCCACTTTTGATGATCAATATCAAATCGCGCATGACTCTTGGGGGGTGTCGGAGGAGGCCTTAAGCGATAGAAAATTATTATTACATTTTTTTTTAAATAAATAAATGTGAGAAGAATTAGAAGAATTAAAACCATGCGATTTTTTTTCCATTGCAGATCTCAGGACTATGGAAAACCGTTTGAAAGCCAGATATTATGTAACTAAAAGATTATTCATAGCGGACATGACGCGAATATTTACCAATTGTAGATTGTACAATAGTCTCGATACTGATTATTATCGATGTGCTAACGCTCTGGAAAAGTATTTTCAAACGCGCATGAAGGAACTTGGCTTGTGGGACAAGTAGAAGTTTTTGTGATAATTTTTTTCGTTTTTTTTTTTCGTAATATATTTAATAAAAAATACAAACTGAATTATCTTTCCTGTGTGTGATTTTTTTTAAGTTGAAGCTGCGTTCAAATTGAGAAGAGAAACCGAAGAGAACGAAAACCCGTCAGTTTCGCGCACATCTTCCCCCACTAGAAAGTCTCCCTGCTCCACGTCCATTGGCTGTCCAGCGAGTGTCCCACCCTTTGACGCCCCTCCCTTACTTATATATATTTATATATATATAATCAAAGGATCGGACGACAATTCTGATGATTCCGTTAACGCAACCGTTGTGAATTTGGCTTCAAAATTTTTGCGGAACGCGCCGAGAGCGCCGTCCGGAATTCCGGAGTTTTTGCACGTTGGCAGGGAAGAAGAACATTTTGTGTGTGTGTGTGTGTGCGTGAGGTGAGGTGATTCGCACAAGATCTTTTGGATTCTTCGAATCTCTATTGTGTGATCGGTAAAAACTTGCAGAAAAAAGATCGGGCGAACAATAAGGGTAAATACGTGCGTTCTCTCTCTCACACAGACACATTTTTTAGGTTAGGTTAAGGTAACGGGGAGTATTCCGAGATAGTATTTTACGTGGACGGACGTTCTCTGGAATTTGGGATCGACAAAAAAAAAGTCAAGTCCGAAGTGGTATATCGGTTACATACTTTGTTGTAACTTAATCAACATATTGCAATTTAAATTTGATACACTTAGGCGATCTGTGATACCGATCATTGCTTTGCAGTTTTATTTGCTCGGAACGATCAGACCCCGAGATAAGATTCCTGCTCGCTTATCGGTATATTTTTTTCGCATCATCGGTATCGTCGTCACATTGCGTGAAATTTTGTAATATCGTGCAATGGCCACCTGGGACGGTTCGTGCCCGGAGGATCCAAATATCCTCGTGTACTCCAATCGGAACACATCTGGCAACGCTGCGAACAACTGGCCACAGTTCGCCAGCAATATCGCTTGTCTGCGGAACGTGCCCGCGGATAGCTATTACACAAGAAACGGCAATCGGTATCCACATCAAGAACAGACCGGAACTACCATCGCGTTTTATCAGCAGCACTCGAACGCGATGATGTCTTTGGATCATAGCCGTCGTCAGGACCATTTACTGCCAAACGTCGCGTCTATCGACGACGCGCAAATGTCGAGCAACAATTTCCAACACTCCACGAGTGACATGCCTTCGACATCTCTGCACAACGTGTCTTCTTCCGGTGACAATTACAATAAGTCAAAATGGACAAACAATTCGGCGATCAGCAAGCATATTCCAGGTTCCGAGAACAATAGTGTCTTGTTTGACATAGTGGAGAATTCAAATTTGCATGCCTCAGCCAGTGAATTTGTGCCGAACGATATCAAACCGAGAAAAGAAAAATTTAACAAAAGGAATAGGTATAATAATAATAACGTAGTGGATAATACTTCCGATAATACTGGTAGACAAAACTTCAGATCTTCTAAATCGTTTCCCAAGAACGCGTACTTGTCAGATAACAGATACAAGAACAATTATAACAACAGTAACAAGTTTTACTCTTCCGCTAAGAAGGATGTGAATTACAAACAGAAGAATTTTCAAGACCCACAGATTCCACCTACAAGATCCAGCTACAGAGATAATCAAAGAACTCCCAACGCAAGGAATTTCAACAAATTTCAAAACAGCAGATATTACAACAACAGAAAGCATCAGTCAAACTCTTCTCTTGCGGAACAGAATTCTTTCGATGAGAATTTTACATCAACATTCGCAGATACGTCAAATACTCAAGATAACACATCTAGGTCTTCTAACAAAGATGTTCGAGAGAACAATTCATCTTCGAGCGCGAAACATAACGCAAATGAAGAGAGGACACTTGTGCATCAGATTAATAATCATTCTAAAAACGCGTTATCGGATATTTCTGATGTACAGCAAAATAAATCTAAGCGATTATCTTCTAATGGATCTAATTATTACAAGTACAATTTTAATGATACACAAACCGAATTCGGCCCTAAATATAGAACGGCAGCAGCTTCGATGAAATGCGCGTATAGAAGAAACAATGAGGCAAATCAGAAGGAGACACAAGTAGATAACTGGAGAAGTAGAACAGAGAAAGATGAGACGGCACAAGCGCAAAGAAAAACTCCCAAGAAAAAATATGAAAATGGTATGTTTATATATATGGTTTAAAAAAAAGGAGTTTAATTATTGTGATTAAATTATATATTTTATATATCACTTTTTATTTTATTATATATTTTATTATATTTTATTATTTATTTTATTATTTTTTATATTTTATATCACTTTTTATTTGGTTTATTTCAGATAATCATGTGAGTCAAAGAGAGAGATTAATGGAACAGTTGAACAAAGGAACGTTGGAGTGTCTAGTTTGTTACGAGCATGTCAAACAAACCGATTATGTTTGGTCCTGTTGTAATTGTTATCATGTGTTGCATCTGAAATGCATCAAGAAGTGGGCAAGATCCTCACAGAGTGGTAAATGACATTGAGTTTAAAGTTGAAAATAAAAGATGTGTCATTTTAATTTTATTTTATCTGTTCGTTCTCTTTTTCAGATAACGGTTGGAAGTGTCCGGCTTGTCGGGACGTCAGCATACAAGTTCCTGAAGATTACTTTTGCTTTTGTGGAAAGATGAAGATACCGCAGTGGAATCGCAGAGATGTGGCGCATACATGCGGCGGGACTTGCGGTCGAAAACTAACAAAAAATTGCAATCATAAATGCACTTTGCTTTGCCATCCTGGCTCATGTCCGCAGTGCGAGGCAATGGTGACCAAGTATTGCGGCTGTGGAAGAACATCGCAGATGCTTCTGTGTAGCACCCAACAGCTGTTATTGTGCGACTCGATATGCAACAAGGTTCTGTCGTGCGGCAAACATTTCTGCCAGAAAAAATGCCATCATGGAGAGTGCGAACCTTGCGACAAAACTGTACAACAAAGTAATATTAATTTTTGGTTAATTAATATATAATTTTTGGTTTCTATAGCTAAAATTCGCAAATAGTCTTTAAATTGAAATTATATTTTGTTATTAATAATAACAATATTACATATGCGTATGTACATATATATATATGTATGTATGTACATGTCATATTATGAGTACAATTATAATGTTACGTGATAAAATTTATAATAATTCGACTCTTGATCTCACTTAGCTTGCTTTTGTGGAAAAAAAACACAAGAAGTGCCTTGTCGAGCCAACGTCACGGATATGTTTTGCTGTGACAATGTTTGTAACAAACCGTTGGACTGCGGTAAACATTATTGCCAAAAAGTCTGTCATTTGGAGCCTTGCGAATTTTGCAGCTTGGCACCAGAAAAAGTTACCGTGTGTTGCTGCGGTCAAACACCTTTAACAGAAAAAAGAGAGAGCTGTTTAGATCCTGTGCCTACTTGCAACAAAATCTGTTCCAAGCCTCTGGCTTGCGGTCGGCCTAGTAAGCTTTTCAAAAATAATTCTCTTTGCCACTCTTATAATTCGCTAAAAAATTTATTAAATAAACGTGTTTTTTTTGTTTATAGGTAATCCGCATACCTGTAAGATGCGATGTCACACTGGCGATTGTCCCGAGTGCGATCTAACTACGGAAGTTAAATGCCGATGCGGTAATATGAATCGCGAGATTCCTTGCCGAGACTTGACGAGCAAAGCCGACGACGCGCGTTGCGCGAAGCGTTGCAAGAAGAAGAGATCCTGCGGCAAGCATAACTGCAATCAGCTGTGTTGTATCGATATCGAGCATATTTGTCCGTTACCGTGCTCAAAGACCTTGAGTTGCGGTCGTCACAAGTGTCAGGAAAGATGTCACATAGGTAGATAGGCATCGTGCTTTAATTACAATTATACACAAATTCGTCGATCGTGAAAACTGATGTTTACCTTCTCGGCAGGACGATGTCCTCCCTGTTTACAGAGCAGTTTCGACGAATTGTACTGCGAGTGCGGCGCTGAGGTGATCTACCCGCCAGTACCGTGCGGCACAAGAAGACCCGTTTGCAATCGACCTTGTTCACGTCCACATTCCTGCGCTCATGAGGTGTTGCATAATTGTCACAGCGAACTTACTTGTCCACCTTGCACCGTTCTGACTCAGAGATGGTGCCACGGTAAACACGAGCTCAGAAAAGCCGTACCGTGTCATGTGACCGAGCTCTCATGTGGTCTGCCTTGCAACAAACAGCTGTCTTGCGGACGTCACAAATGCATCAGAATGTGCCACGCTGGATCGTGCGAATCATCTGGACAACAATGCATGCAACCTTGCGCTATAAAGAGAGAACTATGCGGGCATATCTGCGGTGCTCCGTGCCACGAAGGCAAGTGTCCGGAGTTGCCGTGTAAAGAAGTGGTTAAGGTAAAAGTATAATAATAATAATAATAATTTTGTACATACGAAAATAATTGCAACAAACGTAAATTTATATATTTGATATATTATCTACGCAAAGGTTACGTGTCAGTGTGGACATAGGACTTCGAGTCGTGTCTGCAATGAGAATGCGCAGGAATATATGAAGATAATGAGCGTCCTGGTGGCTAGCAAAATGAAGGACATGCAGCTTGGCCATTCGATTGACCTGGAAGAAGTGTACGGTCAGAATGCAAAGAAGCAGAATCAGCTAAAGACTTTGGAGTGCAACGACGAGTGCAAAACGATCGAGAGAAACAGAAGACTCGCTTTAGGACTGCAGATCGTCAATCCAGATTTGAGCGGCAAATTGATGCCCCGATATACCGATTACTTGAAACAGTGGGCCAAGAGAGATCCGTTCTTCTGTCAAATGGTTCATGACAAACTGACGGAATTGGTGCAGTTAGCGAAAACTTCTAAGCAGAAATCCCGAAGTTATTCGTTCGAGGTTATGAATCGTGAAAAGCGCCATTTTGTTCACGAGTTGTGTCAGCACTTTGGCTGCGAAAGTCAAGCTTACGACGAGGAACCGAAGAGAAATGTCGTTGCCACTGCCGTAAGAGATAAGGTAAACAGAGCTTTAATTATGTAATTAAGAGAAACTTAAATACAATGTATATACATATATCATGTTTATATAATAATACGCGTAATGTTGGTGTAGTGTTGGTTACCGAGTTATAGCTTGCTGGAGATAGTTCAGAGGGAGAAGGGGCAAAGAAAAGTTCCAGGACCGGTGCTAAACACTTCGATAGGAAATAGCTCCACGAAGTAATTTTTTTTATTTCTAACAAGTTGCTTGAGAGAGATCACATGTAAGAGACACATACTTATTGGATATATGTTGCAGGACTGTTCTTTCGTTACCTGCGAAACAAGGTCAACAATCGATGTCAACAAGTGTAAAAACCCCTGACAAAGAAATCGATTATTTTGAATATCAAGGATAAATCGGTTACTCGTCGCTGACATGTAAAAAAAAAACAGGTTATATAAAATGGTAATGTGTGTGTGTGTGTATAGTATCGCGAATGACTCACCTTATATATGTACAACTCATTACGTACTTGTAATTTATAACATCGATAATTTAAAAAAAAATATCGTCGTTGTATTATCACAACACACAATTTTTTATTTACTCTATAATTTATTTTACTTTAAACACAGGCCTGGTGTCATTTATGTGAAATAATATTAATTTTATCTATAACACACACAAGATAGATTAGCAAAAAAATCTTTATCGTAATCAAAATGATTGTGATATATTTTTGTTAAAAAGATATTGTGTTTAATAGCTCGGCAATAATTTCAAACTCAACACAAAATGTTGCATTGGCAATATATATCATTTAATAGCAAACTTTGATGGTTTTCTTATCATTCTAATGTGTGTGTGTGTGCACGCGCGCTATGTAATATATATATATATATGTACAGTGTCCGGTAATAGCCATATCAATGCTCGCGAGCAGGTAGGGAAAGGTTACACTTAGTCTCGAAAAGTCCTTTACCACTTTGTGAGATTCAATACTTAACGAGTTGTTAATTAATCAAAGATCCGCGAATGAGTGAGCATCAACGTGCAAAAAAACAGCTCAGCGTTTCGCGCGCGGCAACTCAACGGGGTTGAGTTAATAGTGATTGTGATATAGTGGACTCTCGCTGTAGATCGGGCCTCAGGACTGTAGGTAGCTGTAAGGGACAAAAAATTCTTGAAAACAGATCTATATCTGGAGCTTCTCTTTCTCTCTCCACGCCTCGATCGATCGCCAAGGCTCCGTCTCTCGTCAACTGTTTACGCCAGCGTAAGTGCAAAATACGTAGACAAACCCGCCAAATTTGAAATTATTATATGGAAAAAGACAAGGACAAAAGTGTTTTCAGTTTGGTTTCATGTTTTTAATAAATATTCAATACAGACGTAGACATTTATGTATAATAATATATTAATTAAGAGTTTAAATAATACATATAGAAACATTTATATATAAAAAATTATTTTGAAATTGCTAATTTGACAGCTGATTCTTTCGCTTTTCTTATCACTTTTCTTATCTTTACTTATCAGCTAGATCTGATTGAGATAATAAATTGGTTTGTTCACACACACACACACACATAAAAAGAAAGAATCAAATTAGCTGCGGAAACAACATTTGGGCTTATTCTTTCGACCGAACTCGCATTATTGTCACAGTCTTCTATTTCTAAAAAAATACCATTGAAAATTTACAATAAAATTATTGTGTTATGAAGTAAGGCAAATTCTATTTGTATTATTTAAATAATTTTTCGCACACCTTCTATTGTGAAAATTTAAGAACTTTGTTTTATTTAATTTTTCGATCAAGATGGAACTTTTGTATGTGTATTGTTTTGAAAATAATTATCAATTTGTGACTATAGACTAAGAATATGAATATATAAAAATGAATAAAAATTTGTCGAAAATTCTTTTTTACATGGTTTTATTAAACTGCTAAGACTTTTAAAAATAATATGAACTCTTTATTAGTTCTATGAAAAATTTTCTACTCCGGTTTAATAAACATTTTTTGCACAAGAAATTCTTAAAATTCAAGACTATATATATATATATATAGTCATATATATATATATATATGACTGCGTTCGAGGAGTGTGCTGTATAATGTATTGTAATTGTTTTAGTTAATTCTAACGTATTATCATTTATATGATAATAAGATTTTTTGTGTGTTTGGTAATTTCAATATAAATTACATGCAAAGAGATTTTGAAAAAAAAAAATATGTCTCAATTTTGATTTTTTCATTTATTTTTTCTCTACATAATTTTCTTTCAGTAAGTCTTTTACATATACAGTGATATCTTAGATATAATAACATGATAACTCTGACTCTAATACACACAATAAAGGAATACAAACAATAATAAGTTTTCTACTATTTTTAACAAAGTGCTGTTAATAAGAAAAAACCATAATTTAATATTACAATTGTACGCAAGACAATTTCTAATATATTACGTATATATATTTCGAATATATGTAGATATGAGCACGCAACATATCTACAAAATCACCCAATAAAATAGCAGAAACACTTATTCTAAAGTAATACTATTTTTAATTTGGTCAAAATCTTATTTATTAACAATAGTGCTGGCTTAGTCATACATGATATAGGCGGATAATTTTATGCAATGTTTTTACGGGGCAAGATGTTTCAAAAATATTTTCATAAACTTCAGATTTATAATTTTCCAGATATATTTCTTCTGTCTGAAGTTTAACAAATAAATTTATAATAATTTATAGTTTTTTTTTCTATTATATTTGCGCAGATAATTATTTTTCACCAAATAATTCTGTTCAGAAATTCATTTCTAAATTCAGTTAATACAACGAGGAATCTATTAAAAATGTTAATAGTATAAATATTTATATGTATTATTTATGTATATTTTTTATATATATGTATTATTGAATTTCTGTGATATATTAGGATTTTGTATCAGTAAAAATACAATATGTATATATATACTATAATTTCAAAGAGTCTATGTCTTAGTTTAATCAAAATGATAAAGTTATTGTTTATATATTGTATACATATTCAATTGTATATAAATATTTATAGTTGTTTTTATGTCTATAGTTTTTTGTAGAAGAGATTTTTGTATTTTTTGTAAACATTTAAAATAGTTAACACGATTATTTGGCACATGAAACATCAATGATATAGTTTTTAGAATCACTACTTCTTTTATATGTATAAGTTTTTTTTATATATAAGTTAAACAGATATAATGACTGAGACCTTTTATGCTCCTGTAAGAAGTACTAAGTTTCTCATTTTATAGTGTAATGATTAGTGAAAGTCATGAAAGGACACGTAAGTAGAAAATTAACATATATTTTGATTATACACGTAATAAAATGAAAAAATTATATATATATAATGTGTGAAAATAAATACAAAAACATTTAATACATTTAATACTTTTAATACACACGACAAAAGCAAAAATCGTATACGTATTACAGAATACGCAAGCAAATTATCCTTTCAAGACCAGACGTGAGTCTCCTAGATCCACCCAAAAGTTTTAAACCGGTGTCTCTAGTAGATAGATATTAGTTTAGCGCGAAGGCCCTGGAAAAAACTCTTAGACAACGTTAAAGATTGTTGACAGCGTCATTTGTTCACTAGCTTTGCAAATATTTAATTGTGAAATGTGAAAAGAGACTCTTTTCATTAAACGCTTATATCTTCAAAACTGGAGATTTTTTCAATTTGTTTTTTTTTATCAATGCAGAATCATTTAAACTTTTTGATTTCAAAACAAGAAATTGAAAAAATATTGATTTTTCGCGAAGATAATCGATCTTAAAGTCGCGTGGACTTTACACAGACCCGGCCAACTCGTAAGTCATTTTTAAGGTCTGGCCTTGAAGGAAAAATTATATATAATTTATATATAATTGATAGTTAGATATAATCTCACTTTTTCAAATAAAAAGTTCAAACGATGTAACAAATAAAATTATATTGTAAAAAATAAAAAAAAACTCAGAAATAAAGTCATTTACACAACATTACTATTTATTTTTGTTTATATAAATTATATAAAAAATATCAAAATTAATATATATACATATTATAAATTAAGAACAAAATATAAAATATCAAAATTAATACAAAAAATATAGCTATAGTGTTTATAGTTCTATTTTCATCATAAACTCACTTTTACAGTCTTTTATCTCACTGAGTAGTAGTTGTTACTTATGCTTACATAAGCGTAAAATGGCCTCCTATTCTAAACACATAAATACGGTATCACATGTAGGATCACAACACTGTTACAAATTCCAGTTGCAGATAAATTATCTATTTTAGTCATTGTAATAATTTTTGTTGAACATTCAGTAGTAGGGCACTTTGAGAGTTTGGATTTATACTTTAATATATCTAAGCATATTTGGTGCGGACACAGTAAAAACATATTATTTCACATATTTTATCTTCCTTCGTAAAAGTCATCAACTATATAAGTTTATGTACAGTCTATTTCTTTCATTTCCTTTTTTTTTTTTGCTTCGAAAATATTATTCCGAATTATGTAAGTTAAAAAATGATACATATATATTTTTCTTCAACAGCAGAAAAAAAAATATATACATATATATGTATGTGTTCTTTTGAGGAAAACCCAGTATAAAAAAGTGAAATATTGAAAAGTAATTTATCTTGAAAATTAATTTAACTTGAAAAATAGATATCTATTTTTTTTATAATATATGTTTCAATGAACACTTCGCTTGAGAAAAATAGTTTTTTTTTAGAAATGCTGTTCAACTATTCACTATTAGTCCATTCGAAAACCGCATTCCTTGTTTGGAATTATGTTCATCTATTGCTATGCTTTCATACATAATACTCATTTTATAAGACTGTTTTTTTTTTTTTTTTTATATCATGTTTTGGTAATGTTTTTGCGTTACATATTCCGATAGAAATTATTACCATTTCATGATGACTATATATATATAGAAAATAAATATTATAATTTTTTTATATAATAATAATATAATTCTCTCTCTGGAGAATGAAAGTACGTTGGCAAGTATTTTTAAATAACACGAATGCGAGTGTACGTCGCGGTCTCGATTCAAAATTCGAAACTCTAATAGCAAAATCTGTCAAAAAAACAAATTTGTCATCAAAAAGACAGCAATTTCCTGCTGGTTCACCAACATGTTTGCTAGAAGAGGATAATTGAATAAAATTCGTCATTTAAATTAAAAAAAAAAAAAAAAAAACTTATCACAGAAGATATTATAATTGTTATAAATAAACGGTAGTAAAATCTAATAAAAAAAAATGAATGAAAAGAAAAATTTATTATACATTTGGCATCTTAAAATTTTCGGAAAGATTAAGATTAAATGGGACCTATTGCTTTTATATGTAAAGATTGCTTCCCCGTTTCACGTGCGGCGAATAATTAGGATAACTACTTAGATACTGATGTCGCGGACTTACTGATGGTTGTTTAGTTATACTCGCCATAGCGTAGCCCATCGCGAGCTCAAATCCTCTGGATATTGTTTGGTACACTACCCACGGCCACGCCTTAGGAAATTGCGACACTGTCGGTTCTGTACCAAACGGCACAGTTTCAGCGAATAGTCCTAAAAAAAAATGAATTAATTAAGCTAAGTATAATGTTGTTTTCACATAATAAATTTTATATTAAATAAATTTATATATATACCCAGCAAACAAATTTCTGACCGCGCAGACAGACTTGGCAACGGAAACTGTGTGTGTGCAGAAACGCTACAATGCGAAAACATGCTTTGGCGCTGCCAAAGCTGTTAACACACAGAAACAGAAAGGACGCAACATGGTCACCGAAAACTCATCAAACCATATCCTAAAGAGGACACGGATGGATATCGATTTGGTCTACAAATTTCGCTGGCGGTTGGCGACAAAATCGCGCGACGTCTCGCAATCAAATTGTTTGCTGGGGTTTATACACCAAATCATTAATTTTCTATTTAATGTCTTTTTTTTCTTTCATAAGTACCGTATGGTCCAAAAATGCGAAAGGCATCAGTGAAACACAGAAGAATTCCTAGAATCGCGGTGGCGCGTGTTACGTTCAACACTTTTTGCACTTGAGACTTTCTCGCAGCTGCGGTATCTGTTTCCGTCGGAATATGCAGCGGCGTGTCGGGTTTTGCTCGATTCACATACGCAATGTGATTCAATATCGAGTGAAGAGTATAATCTGTGTTCTGTAATTAACACACACACAGGCTACGTTCAGGAGGAGGCACTCTATCAGCGTCTATATTGCGTCATTTTCTATCTTTGTTTTACCATCTAATGAGCAATAATAAGATAGACAATGATGCAACAGCGCTGATAGCGCGTTTCCCGAACGCAACCATACAAAAAAATACTTTAAAATACGGGATGAGACGCGGATCGTTATTCAGGATAATTAAGCAGGGATGAAAATGAAAAAAAAGGAGAAGAGAAGAAAAAAGAAAATAAGAGAAAATTTTTTCAATTTGTTTTTTTGTTTTTTTTTTATCAACGCAGAATCATTTAAACTTTTAATTCCAAAAACAAGAGAGTTTTTTTAATATTGAATTTTTGCGGAGATATTCAATTTTCAAAGTCGCGTAGGTCTCACAGATTCGGTTTGGCCAACTAATCGTCATTTTTTAGATCTAGTTTTTAGCCACGAAGAGTTAAGATATCAGACAGACGTATAACATACATAGACTGCGCGTTCTCTATCTTCTCTGTGGAAAGGAAATGGTCAAAACGCAGATAGAGATAGATGTTTTCACCCGTGTGCGTCTCTATCCTTGTTTAGTGACGCAATAATCGAACGAGATAATTAGTAGGAATGAAAAATAGCGATGGTAGAGCGATAGAAAAGCACCGAGCGATAAAGGAGCGACAGTGACAGAAGCCGATTGACATCTCGTGAAGTTGCATAATGATGCTGCCCGCTTTAGACACTGAGAGTTAGAAACAGAGATACGGGTGAAAGCATCTGTCTCTGCGTTTTGACTCACTTCCCCTCTCACCTTTCACACGCGCAGTCTATCTCTACTTGTCTATGGTAGAAGATAAATTTATGGATCGTAAGATATAATAATTTACTTGATAAAAAAAATAAATAAAAAATAAATAAATAAAAATAAATAAAGTAAATAAAAAAAAATAAAAAAAATAAATTAAAAAAAATAAATAAATGAAAGATGTATGATAATCGTAAGAGAAATCAAGAAATTCTTTTAATTTTAAGAAAACTTCTATAAAAAAAGCTATAAAAATCTAAGAAAACATATATTATTATTTCAAAACTCAAAATGTGTTTCAAGCGTTTGTAGGAGTTTAACGATGTAATAAACATTGCGACTCTTGCCTCACTAGTCGTGTTTTCGGGGAGCAAGTTGGTCTCAGCCGTTATGTTCTCCGGATCTTCGATAGTCTTGTCGTTCCACGACAAATTCTTCTTCCGCACTTTCGTCTCTTCGTCTTTACCCTTCGACTTTTCGACATTCATCAACGCCGCTTTCTCGCTGCAATCGGGTTGCTCCGAGTCCGATTCGGATTTCTCTGGTATTTCCGTTTTCGCAGACGCTATAATGCTCTGAAAGTGTGTGGGACTTCTGTCTAGAGTTCTGATGCTGATATCGCTGCTCCGACGGTTTATAACCAACGGTTTGATATGAAACTCGGAGTTACGTCGACAGGTGCTTTCCGAGTTTCTACGCGAATTCGGTTTGGATGATATGAAAGTTCCGATGTCGGAATTGCGTCTTGAACCTATATTAATATTGATTTAAGTAATGTGAAAATGAAACGGTAGCATTAATACATACTCGATTAGCAAGTATCTCAAAATGTATCGAAATCAATATTTTTAGTGACGTTCACCTGCGGGACTAACGTCCAAAACTTTTGGCAATCGGGGATATTCATCGGGTGGCAACATTCTTCTAGGTGTTCTATTACCGAAGTCGCTGTTTCTTCTTAACTTAGTCGCGAATTGCGAACCGCGATTCTTCTCGTGAGTAAAATCGGAGCATCGTCTCAATTCTCTGGCGCTAGTTGCTGGGGTAATGTTCTCCGAATAACGTCGGGAAATGCCGTCGGGTGAACGATTTCTCTCGATAGAATCTCGCATCCTAGGTGAGTGTCTGGGACTGCCCTCCGTTATACGTTTGCATTCCGTCGTCGTGGCGAATGTGTCTTCTTCGTTTATAAGTCGAACGCTGCATTCTGAATTTCTGCGAGAGGACTTGGTGGACGTGTCGCTGCCTCGTCGACTGGCCATGGAGTTTCTGCGACTAGGACTAGATACGGTGATGATCGGTAGATTAGCGGGAGTTGGTGTGGGAGTGGGCGGCCTCACGTAGACTTCCGGTACCGAAGTTTGTTCCTGCAATGGCAACTGCACGACTATGTGCGTCGAGTCCTTTCGCGCTGGTTCCTCCACTTTGTTCGTCTTAGAAATGGTCGTGACTCGTGATTCTGAAATCGAATCTTTATCTCGCACATGTTTATTTGATTGTAAAGTTGATATATAACAAAGTTTACTTACCACTTTCCTCCGTGAGTGTTTCCATTGTGCTTTTACTTGCGTTCGCGGGCTCATTTTCCTCGACACTACTTCTCAATTTAGCGCCCAGCAAAGTAGGGACCAACGTGGCGGCGACCGAAGTCGCTAGATTGCTATAGGGCGCCAACATAGCGAGTTGCATGATGCCTGTGAAGTAATTTTAAGAATAATTTTAACTGCGCTTGAAACAAGCGCAGATGCAAGCGGATGTTTGCTTGAAAAATTGCTAAAACGAATAAACAACAAACCTTTCTGATGTGTATTGGGATTGTCACGTGTCAGCATGTTGCTCGGCATAGTTCGAAGCAAATGATCGACTTTATAAGCCGCGTGTAGAAATGCAAAATACAAAAAACCGCTCCACAGAAGAAATATGACTTGGATCACATATTTTACTAGATAACAATTGTGGGAGGACACAAAGATATTGCTGGTGATTACCAAGAAGAGATGCGCTATTATAACGATATTAAGGCAGGATTCTTTCTGTATTTTCTCCGGACCAAATTTCAGCTGAAAAATATAAATCATATGTAAAGTTTATTAAACGCGACGCAATTTTGAACATATGCAAATTGTCATGATTGATTTGAGACTTAGCAAGGTTAAACGCACCTTTGTCAATTGCAAAAACGCCAACTGTATCAGGCAAAAGGCGGAAGTGATGCACGGATATCCAATGTCCCATATAATTGCTACAATAACCTTAGGCATCGTCTCCTTGAGATTGTAGGGATCTAAAAACAAAGAGATGCTCCTCGACGCTCCGAGTACACATAAAAATATGTTAATCGTGGTCATAAACGGTCGACTTGATAAGAGGGATCTAGAGAAGAAAAAAAAAGAGAAGTTATATAAAGACAAAAGTTTTTTTTTCATAATTTTCTATTAGCTTAACGCGCTTATATATTATACGCAAATATACCTTAAATTTAGAATGGAGAATAATGTATAAAAAGCAAGTACGAAAAATAGACATGCGTAGCCATATATGTGAACCAGGAACATCCATCCTATGTCTTGTTGTATTCCGCTCCATGACGGCGCGGTGATCAACAATTTGTCCAGATTCGACAGGTTTGTTGACACACAATTTTGTCCGGGGACAAATACCGGAGTTGTTGTGTTTATATCTATATAATAACACAGAACATTGAATATGTGGAGCAAATACAAAAATAGATGCGTCAAAAAAATTAAAAAAAAAAAACAAACAAAAAAAAACTCACTTTATAACGCAAGCAACAAGATACAAACTCTGGAACGTGTGTATATAAAATATAATTTAAATTATACATTATTTTTTTTTTTTTTAAGTAGCATCAATAAATACCGTAATTAGGTTTTTAAACTTTACTTCAACAAGAGAGTCACTATATTTAATTTAATCAGCTATAAATTATTTCGGGTGCTGGAACAACCCCCAGATAGTGCTCGGGGGGATGCAAAAATGGCACTTGCGCCTCTATCCGTTCTATGTGTAAAAAATTCAGATAAAGAAAATAATAAACTGACCGCGAGTCCAATTGACCAGCCTATCCATAATCCCGCGATGTATCCACAGCACATCACTGAGGCTTGTAATTAAGTAGTAGTGGAGTATTAGATACTTAATGCGCGTCTATTTAATGTAGCACGTTTCGCGAGCTCGTGAAATGCGGTAGCAGCAACAGGCTTTACCTATAGAGTAACTTGATTGATTCACGCACCTCCTCTCGCCGCTTCTTACTGAAGTATAGCCACTGGTCTCTCTCTCTTCAGTCAGGATTATTGATCTTCCTCAAAGAGGGTTGGAGGGGGCACACATGCCCACACAAAGCACCTGCTGGTCAGTTGTTTATCTTTAGAGTTTAAATGGGGCAAAGTTAAATTTATCGATTTACGTTACGTTATGATTCACACGCTCGTTATTTTTGTGAAAACAAACTTTAGTATTTATCAATAAATTTTCATAAGGCACGAATCTCATACGCTGCACGCATCAATATATTGCACACATAAGATTGATGAAAAGTTGTTAATAACATTGCATTAAATACTACTGAGTCAATTAACTTATTTAAAATATATTACTTAAAAAAAAACAATTGATTTCTAAATGGATTTGATTCTTTTTTGCTTGAAATACTTATTCCATCATAAATAATAAAAAAGTTTAGACAGATATTCATGACATTTAATGGAGAAATTACAAATAAACCAGCTTCGCGGGTTTTTCCATTAAAATACTGAATAATGTAATTTTTCATGGTACGGTAATAAAAATATATTATTTACAAAAACAAATTATAAAAATAATTACAAATTAAGTGTTCACATATGCAGTATACATATTATATATACATATATATATATATGAATATTAGTTTTAATTAAATTTAATATATTTTTCCATACTATATATCATTTTAAATAATATACATATATGTATATATATATATACCACACATATTTTATTTCACAATTTATAATCTATAGATTCTAAAAAAATTATTACATTTTACAACATTCTTTTATCTAACGAACTTTACGTAAATCAACTTATGTATCATTAACACGTTGAATATCGGGGCCAATTTTACATGAGTTAGCCAAGGCGCCGGAAGGAAATGTTTATAAATGCAATGCTAATGACATCGCCGGTCACCGGTGACCATTACGGCATTCAACGTGTTAAATGATACAAATATCATTTGTATTTTCATAGATATAAAATATTTTCTCTCCCCAAATGATTTAATCTATACATACATATAATAAGTCTGACAAAATTTGATATAAACATTAATCATACAGAGTACATAAAATGTTTTCTTATTACACGGTAATTGGTTTGGAAGCATTTGTCATATACGCAAAGTGTTTTGTATTCTCAATGTAATTGACAGGCTCTGACCGCGATAACTTGCAGAAGAATGAATATAGGACTTAAAACCTCCGAATATTCATACGTGGTCTGTCCGGAAAGTTTTTGACATAAAAGATATTTAAACGTAAAAATTAGAGACAGTAAAAGTAAACTCCATATGCCGCGCAAAATGGCAAATTTTGTCATTCCTTCCATGTGCGTTCTTATGAACACAATGGCACAAAAATATGTGTTTAGACCGTCGGCAATAAAAAGTGGCGAGAAAACTTTCCACCATCCGGACGCTTCCACGAAATAATTACCGTCTAATTTCAAAGCCAAGAATACGGTAAAAAATGTTAAGGAGATCAAGTTGATGAATATTTCAAAGATCGTGAGACCTAACCAGCCCACCAGCTCGTTCAAAGAGAATATCATTATGAAAATAACACACAGCTCTCTGCATCAACTGTGTATCTTAATACTTAACGACGCTAGATAATAAAATTTATTTTATTCTATTATGCACAGTTTTTATTACTTAAACACATATTGTTTTGCGGAATCAGAGTGTCGGAGTTTGTTTCCAAAATTAATTCTCAATACGGCCAAGAATAATTTTCTGTGAATAATTTTCTGGAAATATGTATGCGTATAGCGGAGTTTTGTCTGGTGTTTATTTCATCGTCTCCATCGTCAGTTTGGGCTTCCAATTCATCTGCGCAAGTGATAAACATAATTTAAAAAACACTTTACTACGTACATCACACTATTGAACACATAAATTGATCAACAAAAATTTAATTAACATACCCACCTACTAAAGACACCGTAGAAGTTGTAACATCAAGTTGTAAAGTTCCATGATGAACTTGGTTCAATCGCAATGCTAAATTGACCGCTTTGTAAACCGCAGCTCCGAGACCATTGATAGTCAGCTCGGACACGCCTTTGTCAAGCAATTTTTCGCATTTGTACAATTGCGCCTGAAAAAGTAGTATCATTGCAAAATGTAATCGCAACAAAAAACAATTTTTAAACAAAGCGTATATTTGATGGACGACCAAGAGGGGTTATAATCTTTCCAGAAAAACAAATTACCTTCAAAGGAGTTTTATTGTTGACATAAATAATTCCGACGCTTTTCTCCAATTTGGGTGGCTGTCTTCGTCGCAGAACGTGTTTGGAACTCAACGAGAGTGTCTTGCTTTTTTTACAGCCGCTCTTTGTTCGTTTATTTAATCCCGAACTGTTGTCCGCTTCGGCCATTGCAGGCCAATTGCAACATTTTCCGCGGACCGTTCCGCGCAAAATTTTCGACAGCTCAACAGCGTTTTTTGATTGGCCAACCGGTCACCCGAAACTGTCGATCAACACCAATCGAAGACATGCGATTCAAGGAGATAAACCGGATACAACCGAGAGTAACGTGATCGAATCAAGGAGGTCACTGACAACAACGCGACATAACCTCCAAGATCTAAGAACCGTGGTCTTCGTTCAGGATTGAAGTAAGATCGCGCCGAAGTGCGGTCTAAAGTAGACCAGAGACACAAAAACGCGATACAAAAACCTAATCGGACGTAATCGACAGTCGTCGATCGACGAACGTTTTTTGTGGTTTTTAACAACAATCTTGGTAAAAAAAAAATCAGCCAACATTCAGTCCCCGTCAGGAAACGCTATGAGCAATAACGCCACGAAGGAACCCGAAGTGGATCCGAAGAATATAATAAAGAGCAGAGAGACTCTGTACAGGCTGATGATCAGGTTCTTGTTTAGAAATTTGTTTCTTTCTTCCATACATGGTGTTAAAAATTCATCTTCTTCTCGTTATTTTTCTCAGTATGATTTAGGTGTGTTAAATTGTATAACATCAATTTGCAAATTTATGATATTGTCAGTAAAAAGCACAAGTTGAAAACAAAGCTGTTTGGTTTCATCAACGTGTCGAATATTTCAGCCAGCTGTTTTACGACGGTCATCAGACACTGGCTATGCAGCTGTCCAATGTTATACAGGCGGAACCACCGTGTCCGCCGTCGGATCGATTGCTTCATCTCATGCTGATCGGAGCCGCTCACGAGCCGGATCGTTCCAAGAAGGAAAACACCAGTTTGTCAACATTTGCGTCCAGCTTTGACAACACACTTGGGCCTGGATTGGATTTGGAATTTGAAACCGAAATTCAAACACAAGCACCGGAACCCGCGCAGTACGAAACCGCATATGTCACATCTCACAAAGGAAACTGTAGAGCCGGAGCGTTTTCAGCTGATGGTCAGTTAATAGCCACTGGTTCGGTGGACGCGTCAATCAAGATCTTGGACGTGGATAGAATGCTCGCTAAATCCGCGCCCGACGAAGTGCCACCTGGCGATCAGACGGGAGGCCATCCGGTTATACGAACTTTGTATGATCATTTGGAAGAAGTAACGTGTTTGGAATTTCATCCAAGAGAACCGATACTTGTATCCGGTAGTCGAGACTTCTCCGTAAAACTGTTCGATTTCAGTAAAGCAAGTGTTAAAAAAGCGTTCAGGACTATAACGGACGCCGATCAAATTCGTTGTCTGTCCTTTCATCCAACGGGAGATTATCTAATAGTTGGAACCAATCATCCGGTAGTTAGATTGTACGACGTGAATACGGCACAGTGTTTTGTGTGCAGTATACCCAGTCATCAGCACTCGAACGGAATAACGAGCATCAAGTATTCACCGGACGCGAAGACTTACGCGTCGGCGGGCAAAGATGGAAGTATCAAACTTTGGGACGGTGTGTCCAATCGATGTATAAACACCTTTGTAAAAGCGCACGACGGTTACGAAGTGTGCTCGGTAACCTTCACAAGAAACGGCAAGGTAGTAATTTTACTGAAGATCGATTTGTTGCACATATGTTATTTATGATGAAGAACTTTGCGCGGATTTGTATTTCTAAACTAAGAAATATATTTACGGTCATCCGAGCCGATCGCAGGATGTTGTGCGGAAAACTGCGTATATATATATATATATACATATATATATTTGTTCGCGTGTAAATTTACAAATATATATATAACAAATATATATATATATATATATATATATATACACAGGGTGTTTCAGAACTATGGGATCAAACTTCTAGGGGTTATTCAGTGCAACAGTAGAAAACATTTGAGTATAGGGACCCATGTCCGGAAAAGTGTCACTACCGCACTACGGCCCTAAGACGCGTTAAAATTTAGAAAGACGATGAATNTTAACGCGTCTTAGGGCCGTAGTGCGGTAGTGACACTTTTCCGGACATGGGTCCCTATACTCAAATGTTTTCTACTGTTGCACTGAATAACCCCTAGAAGTTTGATCCCATAGTTCTGAAACACCCTGTATATATATATATTAAGATATATATATATATATAAACGCAGTTTTCCGCACAACATCCTGCGATCGGCTCGGATGACCGTAAATATATTTCCTAGTTTAGTAACTTATCGAGCTTCAATAGGATTTAATTGTATTTAAGTATAACAATGATTAGAAAAAAGAGAAGAATAATTTTTGTATAATTTTGAATTCCAGTATTTACTGTCTTCGGGGAAAGATTCCTTGATAAAATTATGGGAATTATCTACCAGCAGATGTTTAATAGCGTACACGGGTGCTGGAACTACAGGTAAACGGTTTACAAATACGTTCGTACTTTGGGATGGGGAAGGAGAATTTATATTTGGTTTGGTATATGTCTCTAACTAAACATCGTAACAACACAACCATCGCGCAACTGACTCTATGCTGTTTATTCGCAGGAAAACAGGAACATAAAGCACAAGCTATCTTTAATCACACCGAGGATTATGTGATGTTTCCTGACGAAGCCACAACTTCGTTGTGCGCTTGGAATTCTCGCAACGCGTCAAGAAAGCAATTATTGTCACTGGGTCACAACGGACCGGTTAGATTGATTGTACATTCACCAACAGCACCCGCGTTTCTAACGTGTAGTGACGATTTCAGAGCAAGATTTTGGTTTCGCAGAATGCCGACTCACTAACACAGTTTGTTATCAAAAGCCGACAATATTTAATGGACATTAAGAACAGGAAGTTTTTTTTTATATAATTTTCATTTCATCAAAAAAATCTAACAAAGAACGAGAAAAAGAGAGAGAGAGAGAGAGAGAGAGAAACACAGTGAAAGTGAGAGTGAGAATGAGAGTGAAATTTAAAAGACGAAAAATTTTTGAAGATTGAAATTTAAAGATTTGATATATCGTGTACCAAAAAAAATGTCATTACAAGAAAGAAATAAGTATATAAGTTATTTTTTATATTACGTGATCATCTATCTCATTTAGATTCTAAGTAAAATAATTATTTATCTTTTTAATATTTATTTTTTATTGCGCATGACAATTTCATTCATCGTATTTGTATTTAAAAAGCGGTGAGCGGTCAATTTCACAGATGATCCAGCAATTTTATAACTTGTTGCTTACGACTGAACAATATATATATATATATATAAAAAAATATTTGTATCAAGGTAAGTACAAAGATTGTGTGATAAGAATTCAAATTTAATAAAATTTAATGGATTTTTCTAAATTAACACTTGCCTCTGGGTGTGTAAAATTTATATGTAAAGACACAAATTTAACACGTTCTTTATTAAAATTTTTTCAATTTATCTTTTTACGAAATTTATACCGATTTTAATTCCTTCGACGATATTTTATGCTACAATTTTTACATTTCAGATTAATTAAGTTTTTAATTTCAATTACTGTTTATATAATTGTAATTATATATATATGTGTGTAAGTTTATTTTATCTCAATGATCTTTTCTCCAAGATGTAAATGTGAAATCACATCTCGTTGCTGACGTTGTCGGAGAGTTTAATATTTTTTAAAACTATAAAAAAAAAAAATTTTTTTATATCGATGAAGCGCGAAATGCAATCCGCAAATTTTATTCCGCTTTATACGCGTCGCTACGCGCGTAGTTCGTCGCGGTGGTGCGAGGCGGCGCACCGAACTCCCGCTCTGATGTTTGACGAGGTGTCACGTGACCCACGCTAACCGCCATCTTTCCTTATCGTATAAACAGTACGACCGGGCACAAGCGCGAATTCTTGCCGTAGAATCGTGGATTTTCCAGTGTTTTTAAGTGATTCGCACGCGAAGATATGTCCGACGCCAAGACAGAAACCAAGAGCGACAATAACGTCGAGGATGCGTCCAAGGTAAGCGGACGGCGGGTACGTCAGAAACACCTTCGTCAAGCCGAGTTTTCATGCCGTGTGTGCGGCGTGTATATGCGGTAAAGGTTTCCCCCCGCGCGAAGCACCAAAGGCGGCGTAGATGCTTGTGGATATTGCGCGCGTTAAAAATCCTGGACGCCGACGAGAGACGACGGCGATAAACCGTGTTTACGTGCGTAAGGCGCGCGGATTCGTGCCGTCAGATCGACGATCGTGCGCCATGTGGTGGTGCCTGGTGAGAGTCGCGCGTCGGGCGACGGCGCCGCACCGCCTTCCGCGCCGTGACCGGCCGCCTGCTCGTCCCGTTCGTCCAGCGATTTTTCGGATCTGCGCCGTACGCACGTACGCAAGTCCTTGCCTCGCTTCGGCAAATATGGAGGCGGGCTTTTTTATTTACGCGAGCTCCGCGACCGTGAGTGAGTCGCTGCTGCTCGTTTCGTTCGCTCGAACACGCCGTCCGTTCGACATCGAACGAAAAGGCGGGAAATCATCGTCGCTCCTTTAGGAGTAGCGGTGAGAATGCGTTCGTGACGACGTGCCACGCCGATGGCCGCAAGTTTTCGGCGCGTTGACGTTTTGTGAGACGCTGTCGTTTCTCGTTGTTGCGGTCATCGACGACGATCATCGCGACGATGACCGACGATGACGACAACGACGACGACGACAACAACAACGACGACGACGATGATTACAACCTGGCGCTCGTAATGAGGCGTAGATGATTGAGAATGGTGCGGGCAAACTAAAATGGCGGGAAACTTAAAACGGAACGTTGGTCTTTCGACGCTTTGCCGACCGTGTGGTTCAATGGTCTCCCGATAATCTTATCGTACGAGAGCTTTAATCATTTGTGTCGTGTTGTACCCGTGCGCCCGTTTAGCTGCCTTTATTTTGCGCGGTCTCCAATAAATCTCGAGACCCACCATGCGGCTGCGTAAAAGACGTGCGTTTTTTTTTTGTGTCACACACGTACATGTTTTTGAATGTATACATGTGTGTACGATTGTATATTATTTCTTATTACGAAAAGCAGATGAAACAGAAAAGCTAATTTTACAGGAACAATCGACGGAGGAGAAGCCAGCTCCCACTAGAAACAAACGAACTGGAACCAAGAGACTTTCCACCCTCGAAAGAACCGCTCAGGAAGGCGAGGCGCTCTTAAAGGTGTGTGTGTGTGTCTGTCTGTCCGAAAGAAATCACGCGTAATCCGAAGCGGGAAAAGTTATTGATCTCGGATCGAAAAGCAGTTATTGATTGTTCAAAATCATCATCGATGCCAAGACGGTCAAGACTCTCGTCTCTTCCTTCTATTACCCGATTAGTTCTGCTCCTTTCCAGTTTAGCTCCTCCTGTTGAGTTTGCTTGCTTCTTAGCAGCATAAGGAACATTGGGAGTGGGGATGTTTTATGACTAGGGGTGGAAGAGAAGAAGTACCATAACACTTTATAGGTGGGACGAGATGAACCAATCGCGCTAACGGCGCCATTTATGAATTTTCCACATACATACCATGTGTACATATATATATGTGTGTGTGTGTATGGGTGTATATATATATATATGTATATATTAATGTCCAATGTAAACAAATTTATAAATTTGTTATAGAATATATATAAAATTCACGTTGATACGTATAACTTATTATATATTTTTATTATATATTTTTTTGAAGAAAAAATCTTGATGTGTGTGTGTATATATATATATATATATATAAATTTCTTTTAATCAATGTGACATTTTTGTATAGGGTATGAACAAATCTGTTGGTGAGGTAGAAGGTAGGAGACGCACTCGTAGTTCAGCCAGAGGCCTAACTTCAACACCAGTGCCATCGCCACCTAAAAAGGAGAAAAAAGAGGCGCCAGTGAGAAGCAGCGGTGGCCGCGGACGTGGTCGTCCCAAGAGGCAAGAGAAAAACAATGAGAATAACACGGATGAGGAAACATCTAACAATAAAAGCGAAAAGCACACAGAAGAAGAATCCACAAAAATGGAAATAGACGAAGAAAAAGAGGAAAAAGAAGAGAAAGAGAGCAAAGCGATACAGAACGAAGACAAAAATGCCGAGGGTGCGGATAGTAAAGACAGTAAAGACAAGAAAGATGCTGAAAAAATGCCCGAAGCCAACTCTAAAGAAGAGAAAGTAACGGAAGAATCGGAAAACGTGGATGAAGCTAAGAGCACCGCTTCTAGTGAAGAGAAAAAACCGGAGGAAGTAAAGGACAGCTCGGATTCGAGTCAAGATGCAACGGATACAACAGCAGAAGCGCCACCTTTATCCTCGTCAGAATCCCAGAATCCTTCCAACACCACTCCCGAGGAAAATAAAGAATAACCTTCTTTCGCCTGTTTTACCATCACTTTTATGTAAGTATTTCTAATTGCCGCTCGAATCAATATTTCATGTTTGCGACCGCAAGTTTGGTTTTTTCTTTTTTTAAAAAATATGTAGATATATATATATATATTGACACATATTCGTCGATTGGCGAACGATATTAACATGTGATTATTTTTCTATAGGAAATACCAAGATGGCGCACATATTGGGGTCACACAAATGCAATCCCCTTCGTCTATTTTAATTAATTAACGCCTTCTTGTCAATCGTTGCTTTAATCAGTGCACTCAGAATGTCATTTTTATTTTATCGTAAAATAATTCAACATGCAACAGTTTTTGAAAGACATCAAATAAAAGGCGTCGCAAAAGTCTACAATGACACGATTAGCGCTAATTCGGTTAAATCGGTTTTCCTCTACCTATGTTATGTACAGATTTATAACAATCTAGGAAGAGACAAACCAAAACCGTTAATCTAGCATTAATCGTCAGTTTAATTTAATCTTTTGAGGTCTTTTGCCTTATTGTTTTACTTTTCTTTCGACGCCAATGTTCGCAGTAGATTATACAAATTTTTGTTATTGTATATTCGCGTATATTTATATATGTATATATACATTTATATATATATATATATA